CAAAATAAATAAAAGCTGAAATGGTGATTTGAGAAATAGTTCTGTAGAAACGCCTACCATGTCAATTTCTAATAAACCTGGTGTAAATCACTAAATTATTTTTTATGTTATATTTTTTCCTACATCTTTCAACAAGGTTTATTAAAAGATTGTAATGACGTTTAATTGAGAATGCGTTTAAAGTACGATGAGTACCGCTAAATATATCATGATGGACTCGGTTGAAAGTAGTGCTTGAAAATAACCTACTAAAAGAGGCTGTGAACCGGCAAGCTGATTTTTCATAGCTAATCATGGGTCGGAAGTGTGATTATTTGGTGCTACGCTCCGCTTCACCGCAAGGCTATTTTTGAACTTGATGGAAAGTGTTGATCATATAAATGGAGATATTCACATAGAGTGTGTCAGCAAACCACGCACAAGTTCTAAAATGGTCATTGTACAGCTGCTAAACAGTTCATGTAGTTAATCCTGAGATTTTCATCTCACCAACATAAAAGTTCTGAGAAAAAAACGAGGTGAATAAACACAACGAAGTAAACACTAAAAAAGATTCATATTTAATAATTCGCAGTATATACCGAGTTTTCTGATATATTATGGCCAATAAATGGTTTTTTTTGCAATCTTTACACAATTGTGGAATATTCTCACAATTTATTAAACCGAACGGAAAACAAAACCCATAATTGTTGAACAAATGGACAAAAAAACTAATAATTACATCACCGTACGACCTATAAAAAGTATTATCAGCAAAGATGAGCACTCAGATGAAGTGGATACGGAACATGGCATGCAAAAACGTACCAAGAGAAAGAGCAGATTCAGAAGATTGAAACGCGTGACAAAATCGCCTTGGTCAGATTATGAAAAAAGTGTTAGGCCCAACAGACACAGAATAATAGAACAGATATATGAAAGACATGAGAAAAAAACTTTTAATGAATACTTTGATAGGAAAGAAAGCGTTAAACTGGTTGAAAAAATCGATTTTATCGATGAAAATGTTCTGTATAAGCACAAATTGGGCGTGACCGGACTTGCATTGTTCGATGAAAACAATATTGTATCATGCAGCTTTGACAGCAAGATCTACGTTTATAACATGGTTGCAAAGAGCTTAAAGATCTTTTCTGGTCATTGTAAGGGAGTGACCGGTATTTTTGTGAAGGAACCGTTCGTTTACTCCGTTTCGTTTGACTGCAAGTTGAAGGTATGGAATTTACGAAACGAGAGATGTGTATTCAGAAAGGCCTTGGACGTAGTTCCTCTGAAAATTTTTGTTGACATGTGTGATGTAGAAGACGGTGTTGTAAGTGCTGATCTAAGTCGAGAGGGCAGCGTTAGTGTGAAAGGTCGGTTAAATGAAATACGCAGTGACAACGAAAGTAGTGCGCAGTATTCCAGGAGAAAATCTATGAATTATACCTTTCATTCTTGCAGGCGTAAAAATGTACAAAAAGATGATAAAAAAATGATAAGTTGGTCCAGGAATATCAATTGCATTATTATCGGCACATCGGAAGGCATAGTTGTACTTGATTGTAGTTCTGAAGAGATAAAGAGTGTTTTGCTGGGTTTTGTGCTGGATATCCAGTCTGACGCACAGTCTTATTATGTTTTGACATCCAACAGAGATCTTTACGTCATAGAGAAGGCCACGTTCGAGATATCGAAAGAATTTAGGGATGTAGACTGTTTTGCCGTTCATGGAGCAAAGCTCAGCATGGGAAAATCAGAACAAGTACTAATCTATGATAGTGCCACAAAAGAATGTACGGAAATATCATCATCAAATAATTGTCTGTTGGCAACAAATGTAGATGGGACGATTATTGCAGCCAAGACCGATGGTAACATTGAAATTATCAAAAGCTTAGCAATTAAAAGCACCATTGATGGTACCGATTCTATTCAGAGTGTTTGTGCAGCCAATGGTAGTTTTATACTCATTGGTACGGAAAGCGGATTGATCAGAAAATACAGCCTGGATTGAAGAACTATTTCTCTTGTACAGGATGTTTCGTGTTTTGTAAATAGAAGCGAGTAAAAAACATCTCAACCATTCGTTTTGCTACGACATAAAAAATGAACTTAACGCAAGCGAACATAATAACAACCAGGATAAAAGCTGTTGATACTATTCTAGGCATATGGTGCACCAAGAGAATCTGTTTGTGTGTTGATGTGAAGTATGAGACGATAATTAAACGTTATTAAAAAAAATTGTTGACATAATAAAAGAGTCGAAAGGCAGACAGAACACACCCTGCATACGAAGCATAGTCCATGTATAGTATTTTATACCTGACTCGACTCATTTATCACGGTACTGGTTCATCAATACGGATTGCCAAACAGGATGTACAAACCAGATTAAATTTGACTGAACGTATTTTTACATATGCAGCGTACTATAAAATAGAATACATACCGCAACACATCATTGCTAATATAAATGCATTTCAGCTCATGCGCTATGGTTCATATTACATTTGCTGCATTCGTTACCGCGATATTGGTAGCTATGCCATCGAGTCGTGTTTTTAACCGGTCACATATTTAACAAAATTGCCACTGCGAAGCAAGAGCGTAACATAGACTGCAACAAATGCTGATATATTGGAAAATCATGTTCGGTAGGTAGAGCAGAGTTTATAATTAACGTATAGTTTTATGGAGGTACGAACAACGACTCGTGCCTTTCACGAAAGATCTTTGCTTTGATGAAATGCAAGCCCGCCTCAGCTTAACAGCAAAGATCAAACGCAACTCCGTAATTTTCAGCTGATATAATCGTAGCTGGCGGTCTAATCCGTGATGTATATGAAGAGCCGTATATGCAGCGGTGTTAGCTTCAGTTACAACGGTACACTTTGAAGGGAATGCTATGTACAAGCAGAGATGAATGCAATCACATCGAGGAATAAACCGCAATCCGAATACCACTCGAAAAAATAGTAAAATCAAGGAGCACTGAAAATACCTGCTTGCACAGATCATGAAAAGTTTTGAAAATAGATGCACTTCTTTTGTTATGGCATTCTCTCATCTCTTGCCGCCTAGTTCAGTGTTATACGGTGCATGCTGCGTAAATAGGTAGAATAATACAAGCATTACGTTGATGTAAGGCGATAAAAGCCCAGAATATAGCGAATCACTAGCAATAAAACACGTTACACACCGATTATAGCGTTACAGTGCGCCCCATCATCTAACAATTCATTAGGATAACATAAGGCACTACCATATCAAAAAAACACCTTACCACGTCAACACCCCAAAAAAATGCACTTTTGTGTTATTCTGTATTTTTCATGTCACGTTGTGCTGATGTATTTCTCTGGTTCGCATCCACTTATAATTTTATATTTCAAACCCCGTATGAAAATTCATTCGATCACACACACAGCGAGTACATCGACAAAAGAGCACAAGACGTGCTCTTCTCGTAAACTGCACTACAAAAAAACAGATCAGGATCCTCTTGCGAACCAGCGAGAATACATGTGTGCGCTGAACGCAGTGAAAATTGAAAGATTGTTGGCCAAGCCATTTGTCAGGAATGTGGAGTGTTTTGGTGATGGAGTCACCCGTGTGAGTGTGTGGGATCATTTAATTGCATCTTGCACGTACACGGACGAGATCGTGGTCAGAAGCGGAAGTGATGTTATAATGACCGGGCATGTTGATGGGCTTAAAGACATAGCAGCTGCAAGGAATGGGGTGTTTATAGCCTGTAGCAACCGTTTGCTGTTCTATAACAACAATATTTTCTTCACAAATGAGAGTGGTAGGGAAAAAAGTTGCGAAGAAGAAATGGTTGAAGACAGCAGGATGAAAAATAGTTACGTAAAAACGGCACATGAAACGATGACTGGTCCAAATATGGAAAATATGTTCTGCGTTAAGGCCAAAGGGAACGCCGGAAATATCCCTGCTACCAAGTTTTGGACATTTTCTGAAAATTTGAATTGCATCTTTGCTGGTAAAGACACACTCGTGTGTTCCGGTGATGGCTTCATCAAAACGATCAATTCATACGGAAAGGTTGCAGCAACCATGAAATGTAACGATAGTTACAGAGGAGTTAAGCAGAACAATGAAATTTTCTTCTGTCGTTCGCAGCGCAATCTAGATTTAATTGATGAGAAGAGCCAGAGTGTCATAATTTCCGAAAGATTCGGTTTCAAAACTAACGATATTGCGTTCAAAGACAACGTCTACTTCGTTACTGCCAACGAAGACAGCTTCGTGTATTTGCACGATGTTCGTAGACTGAACGTTCCTGTTGCAAAGTTCGTAGGACATGTCAATTCTGTAACAAGCATTGACTTTGTTGACAACGAAATTGTTACAGGAAGCATCGATAAGACAGTGAGAATATTTAACTCTTATGATAGATTGGCACGAGATGTGTACCATAGCAAGCGAATGCTTGCGGTTAACGCTGTTTCCGTATATAAAAAACGCTTTATTCTGAGCGGAAGCGAAGATGGAAATGTCAGACTGTGGCGGTTGCATGCATCCGAAAAAGAGAATATGAGCAGAAGAGAAAAAAATGCGCTGGAATGCAATCGAATGCTAAAGGAGAAGTATTACCATGTGGGTGATGTCAGAAGGATCGATAGGCACCGTTTCCTACCCAAAGAACTAAAAGGTAGAATAAGAAACGAGACAGAGCATCACAAAGCGGTAGAAAGAAAGCGAAACCGTGTAATGGAAAAGAAACCGGAATAAATATTTTATGTTGAGTGCTTGAACATTTGTTTCTGGCAGAGAAGCTGAATATAAATAAATTTTTTATGAAAAGTTCTGGAATACTAGAGAATGTGCTGATAATTTCCCAAATATTCTAATTAAGACCGTTAGCACCCTTTGGTGTGAAACAAATCCTCTCGTCTTGCTTGACCGTGTAATATTGCGATTTATCGTTATAAAGCCATTCATTTGAATTTCTTGTCCGAACCAGTTACAGCCTGTTTAGGGGATAGAACAATAGCGAATGAGCTGATGTTCGTAATTTGCAATGTGCCATACGATCCGTTCGCTCATCCAATTATCTACTGTTGCTGTGCGACCAACACTCTACAAACAAGATTTGATCAGCATTGTGCTCCAAACTGACGGCCTATTATCATCAAATATCACGAAGCGGCTACAACGATTACTAAAATTGGTATGTCATTTATCACCCATGAAACGGGACGTAAGAGTAGACTTCGAGCATGTAGTAAGGACAAAAAAACAAAAACTGAACTTACGCACACTTACACCTTTTGACCACAATTATATAAGGAAAAAGAGGGAAGAGGACAAAAAAATCAGCGCAATACATAAGAGTCTGAAAGCAAATGAAAAAAAATTCAAAAAGAAAAAGGCTGTGCCCAGTAACGTTGAGGTACCAAGTAATTTGAAAACCAAACTACTTCCCTATCAGAAACGAGGGCTCGATTGGATGGTCAGCTGTGAACAATCCCCTGTCAACGGGGGTATTCTAGCCGACGAAATGGGACTGGGAAAGACCATACAGATCTTATCATTGATACTAACCGGACATCAAGGTGATATTAATTTAGTTATAGCACCAGTTGTGGCCTTGAATCAGTGGAAGAGCGAAGTAGCGAAACACACTTTGGGAATAAATGTGATATCACAGGACAACCAAAAACTGAAAAGTGACCAAATCAATGTTATACTTAGCAGTTATGGAAAGATTGAAAGCATCTATAGGCGGAATAAAAACCTGGTAAAAGCTGGCGGGTCTAGCAGTCTAATAAAAACGGGGAAACCTGGCGATTTACAGCAGCAAATTGCGAGCAAATATGATGATAATGATAATACTTTCCTGTTCAGCAGTATATACGAGCTGCATTTTCGGAGAATCATTCTCGATGAAGCGCACGCGATCAAAGATTCGCGAAGCAGCACTAATACAGCAATAAGCCGGTTAAACAGCGACAAAAGATGGGGTGTTACTGGAACACCTGTTCAAAACCGAGTGAGCGATTTATTTTCGCTCATCAAGTTTTTAAAAATAGCACCGCTGGGGCAGTATTTCTGCAAAAAATGCGAGTGTGCATCATTTGTTTGGCTTAACCACGGTGTGCGAAGAGGATTTTGCTCATGTGGTCATTTTGGATCGCAGCATTTCGGCTGGTGGAACAGGAAAATAACCACACCAGTGAAACTTTTCGGGCTGACAACTCGCAACAGAAAAATTTTCAAGTTGATAGAACGAATTAGCAAACATTTTATACTGCGAAGAACAAAGGTTAAATTGGAAAAAGAACTCGGTCTCCCGAGTAAGCAGTTGCGCATTATTCGTTCGTATTTCAGCAAGGAGGAGAAAGAGTTTTATGAGAGCATCTACAAGAAGACAAAGTTGGAGTTCAACGCGTATATCAGTCAATGCGATACATCGTATGTCAACATCTTTTCGCTGATACAGAAGCTGCGAATGGCAGCTAACCATCCATTCTTACTTTCCAAGAAGAATGCGCTAATTTGCTCACTTTGTCACGAGGAGATTTTTGAGCCTGTATGGTCAAAATGCGGACATATGTTCTGCAGAAAAGAAGCCGAGATGTATTTTTCAGCAAATAGAAAGTGCCCAGTGTGCCATCTGAAAATCACGATAGATTTCTTCGATGAAAGGGCCATTAAAGAGTTGAAATATGCGAACGAGAGTACAATAGTGGATAATGATGCTGATACTGGTAATAATACCGATTTGGCAAATGAACACGATTCTATTTATGGCATATGTGGCGCTAGAAAAACCGACTCGAAGAATGAAAGCAGCACGCGTGTGACCGATCAAGATTTTTTGGACAAGGACATGCCATTCTATGGACAGAATTCAATATCCAAATATATTTCGGAGGGCGAGGCAGAGCATAGCATCCCGAGAGGCGTTAAAGGGAGCGTGGTTGACATAGGCAACTGGAGAAGTAGCACAAAGATGGAAACGTTAATGGAAATGCTGTACAATATACAGTCAAATGCGCGTACTTCATCCAACAAGTCAATTATTTTTTCGCAATTCGTTAATTTTCTTGAAATGCTATCATGGCGGCTCGAGCGAGCTGGGTTCAGATGTGTTAAGATATATGGTTCGATGCCGCAGACACAAAGAAAGGCAAGCATAGAATCGTTTCAGAATGATTCGACAATTAAGATATTTCTGATATCGCTCAAGGCTGGTGGTCTGGCATTGAATTTAACCGAGGCGAACAATGTTTTCCTGATGGACCCGTGGTGGAACCCAGCAGTTGAAGAACAAGCCATGGACAGAATACACAGGATAGGGCAGTTTAGGCCGATAAACATTTATAAAATCGTAATTGAGGACTCGATCGAATCAAAAATAGTTGAATTACAGAAGAAGAAAAAAGCGTTGTTTAATTCCACTGTTGAGAATGATTGTGGCGCGCTAGAAAAGTTAGAACGCGAGGACCTGATCTTTTTATTCAATTAGATTACGGAACAGATGTCATAAAATTGAAAGGCAGTGTGTTCAAGATATCATCTGTGCTGATCATAGCACTTCATTGTTATCGAAATAGGAGTTCATCAACGAAAATGATGTTTAAAAACTACGATGTAGTGGAATCTGTGAGTCTCAGCATTTCTTATAAAAATAGCGCATTGTGAACATGTTTTGTACTCGGATCTTAGATTTTATTGAACCGCAACTCAGCAGTACTCTGCACTGTTGCTGAAACGATGTCTTTGACACAGTTCAAAGAGTTGTTCTTGGACAAAGAAACAAGATACATTTTTGCTTGGCAAGTCAAGGCTATAACAGCAAAAATATTGTGCAGCGTAGATCACTCACCGTCAATATCTTTTCTTTTGGCTCATTTGTGTAGTTTATGTTTCTGGTAACGCAGGTAGAACAGAGCATCTGAAAATGTAATTTTCACCAAGCAGTATTTTAGTATGTTTGAGGATCAATTCCATGGTAGTAGAGCCTATCAAAGACCCGTATTTTTCAGCTATTTACATTTCATACGAACAAAAGAAGTTAATTAAACACGTTGGAATGGTATCTAATGTGTGTTAGAGTGCTATTGGTATTCAATTTGATTCTTGCCCTGCTCTTTTTACTAGTATGGAATTTTTTTCCATCGGTAGGGATGGAAATCAGCATTTTCTCTAAACCTGAGGGATTAAAGATCGAACTGATCTTTTATTTACACGAGAAATGATGGTTTTCTCTGTCGTGTTATTTTCTTGTTCATCGTTTTTGAACCTGTGCCAGATTCAAGGCAGAGACACAACACAAACATTAATGAGTACTAAACAGCATCGAGTTGTTCTTTTCATTTGTAAATTGGTTTTAGGTACTTTCAAATGGTTATGTGTAACCATTGCTTGGTGCTCACTTGTCAATGTAACCACTGATAATAATGTCGCAGCACGCTGATTACCAATGCTTTTACTTACAAATAATGATACGAGAAAATAAGATGATAACCAGCTAGTCTTTTGACCTTTTAGTTGGATTAATTCAGAACTAGCACAGTTCAAAGCATAAAACAGAATTAAAGGTTACTAAATTTTGAATCACACAATAAAATAGTTAAAATTGACTTTCTCATACTTTTTCGGCATTAATTTTTTGTGATCTATATGGAAAGAATTTTTTGGCGCGAGGATTGCTGAATAAAAAATAAAACATGCGATTTACCAACACGAGTAACCACAGTAGATATTTAATTAACCTATTTATACAGATTGAGAAAATTAAATGATGTGATTAATCGTTCATTAACTATTCTCACCGTCTTATCATCTACTGCTAATATCTGTCATGACTATCATATGATCCATCGTATGAATTACGTGTGCTACTTTTACACATAACGTGATCATGTGCTGGAGAATTATAACTTGGGTGATGGGTGCTGACAGAGCTGCCTCTGATCATAAAATCCGTATCGATTCTTCGATTTAATGTAGAATATGACTCCTCGTGTCTCCTCTTTGATTCAGCCACAATGTACTCTTTTATATTTTTATCCTTCGCACGTCTGTTCTGGAACCAAATCTGTACGTTCTTCATAGGAATGCCAATTTTTGCAGCCACTGATTCCTTGGTTTCGGAAGGCGGATGGTGATTTGTCCGATACGATTTTTCTAAAATACCCAGCTGCTCCTCAGTGAGCTTAGTTCTTTTACGTTTAGATGTTTGTGGTTTATTGTAACTTCGCAGAACTTCGTGTGTGGAGTCGATAAATTTCACAGCTTTGAATGAAGAATTTCGCCCCATAGTGCAAGGGTAATTACTTCTTTTATATGTACAGGCTCCTTTTGAGTAGTCTGGCTTGTACTCAAATCAAGTAAATTGTAAAATTATAATTTTTATGTCAAATTAGCCTATAAAGGTTAATTTTTACATTTCACGAGTAAATTAATTTATCATGATCAAAATTATTGGTAATCTGAGAGGTAGAATATTTTCGTATGATCAATGGCACGTATGGATGACTCTCTTGATTTGAGACGCAAAAGGAAACAAAGCTTAATAGTAATCAGCAAAATAGCCAGAAGTTGAAAAAGCCTGCAAAAATTTTCAAACAGAGACAAAAAATTCTCACAATATCAATATGTTCATTAAAGACAGCAAATTAAGAGAATTAAGCTAAGTAATTTGGCGAATATGATATAAAATTTAAAAGTTAAATGGACCAGAAACTAATTAGATAGATTGATCAGATAAAGATGTGCTGATTTGATCGACTAACGAATCAAATGTGTTGCAATCAAAATTAAGAGTGTATTACAGCGATAAGTCTAAATTTACACGGTTTTTTATTGTGGAATGAATCGGAAAAAGAATAAATATCAATTATGGAAAAAATCCGTTTTTGCGATAAATTGTTGGAAGCACAAAATATAGTTTGCTGTTTTTCTAAAACTCAGAAGTACGAACTGTACAGTGTAATAGCATCTCTTGGCCATTGTATACCTTCTTGATGAAGATTTGCTTGTCTTTGATCCAAATTTACTTATCATTTGATTTGTGTATCAAAATGTGCGAATTTATTTAATCAAGAATTAGTACTAAGCAGCACCACCAATTACCGGTCTATTCACCGTTAGACAGCATTTAACAGATACTTACGACTAGCTGCTTGTATAAAAGTGCGGGCAGTAGATGCTTGCCATCACCAGAATACTAGCTGCGCCAATTTCGCTTATAAAAATGGGAAAATTTAATTATCGACGCAATGAAATTTATTCTTCTCGTAACACTTGTTGTACGTTGTATAGTACCGTTTCTCAAGTAATACACTCCTCAAAAGGCGCCGAAGAGTTAATTGTCTCCAGCAATCGCATTTTAAAACATATTTTTTTGCTAAAAATAGTCTAGCATTCATTCAAAAAATGCATGGAACAGTAATGTTCATCTTTTCATCACACGGTAATTTGGAAAATAAAAAATTTTTACCTTTTTGAAAGGGGTGGATAATGTATCATCACTAAAGGGCTTGATCAGCTTTTGAGTCTCCCTTCTATCTATCGACGGTAATTCCGGATCCTCATGCTTTTGGTACATAATATTGCATCTTCTTTGTTCCGCTGCGTATGCCAAGGTACAAAAGCATGGTAACCTCAAAAAGTTAGTGGTGAACCGCGTAAAGCATATTAATGAGGATAATTTGAATCTTAGAGCACATCTGCAACACGTTTCAAGCATGTACCATTCTTCTATTTGGATAAATATCCTTCGATTATTGGTGTATTGCTAATATGATTGATTGGTTTATTTGATGTTTGATATAGAGTTTCAAAAACTGATATTTTGGTCATTGGCGTGGGTTGCTCTACAAAGCGTCAGAATAAGCATTTTTCATATCAAACTTGCGTTTAACACCGCTCTATACCGGATTTGAACCATAAAATACGTTAATTGCGCAAAATATCACCACATTTGCCATTTAAGTTTTATTATAATTTTATTTTATGTTAGGATACACGCTCTACAAATAATTTATCCGTGGTATCAGCTTGGATCCATGTTTATATGAAAGATTCTTCATACGGCAAATCCAACAATAAAAGCTTTGATCATAATCGCTAGGATGGTTGCGGTGCCGTGCCACTGTTTTCAACAGTTTCGATAGGTGATGCACCAGGAAAGTTTCTTCGATACGATTGCTACGCAATCTCGGCTGTAACACGTGAAAAAAAGATTTTGTCATTTATTTACTTGCCCGAGGATCATTCGAACCTTGAAGATCAAATTTTGTATTACTATGCCATTTAACCGATTCCCAAATCGTTTATTTTCCACTAAAAGTACGTTTGCCTACCATCTCAAATAAAAACAGCATTTAAACAAGCCCACTTTTCTGGTTCGCAAGGTTGATAATTGCAGCTCGCCTTTGGTTCATTGGTTCTAAATTCTTTTACCCTCACCACATGCGGCTCGTTATAAAAAATTTGCCACCAAAAATTACAGAAAGCAACATAAGAACGATTTTTGAAGAGTACGGTACCATCACGGACATATTTCTTATGAAAAAGAATGAGTTGGTTAATAGGGGGGTGTGTTTTATAGGTTATAGCAAGCAAGAGTATGCCAGAGAAGCGATCAGGCAGAGACACCGTAGTTACGTCCAAAATAGACAGATAACGCTTGAAATGGTTAGAGATGAAGGATTAAAACAGTTAACGAAAGAATTGAAAAGTATGGGAAGCGAATCCAATCGTGATGACGACGATCTACCTGTCGAAATAAAGAGCAAATCGTTGTATTTAACAAAATTGCCACCAATGGTATGCAAAGAGGACATTTTGAACTATTTTAGTGATTGCAGTGTTAAGGACATTGAAATGCTATTGGACGAGAAAACAGGCAAATTCTACGGCCATGCCGTAATTACGATGAACGATCTCGAAAGCGCAAAGAAGGCAATGGAACGAAAGGATGTGCTTTTAGGGCGTAGGATTAGTGTATCATTCTACAAAGAGCCTTCATCCAAGAAAACTTACTATTCACAGCTGTTTTTTAATTTTGAATCTGTGGTTGAGTCAATTTGCAACGAGGAGAAGATTACGAGAAAGGAGCTGCTGAATTTGAAGGATGAGAACTTAGGTACGCGCATATCTCTGGTTGAGACACATCTTGTCGAGCAAACACGCCGATTTTTGGAGAACAACAATATCAACCTCGATAATTTGACCGGAAAAGTAAATAAGAAGGTCCTTATTGTACGGAATAGCAATCTCCTGTCCCTTAATTTCAGGAGCTGTGCCATAAAAGTGGCACCGTCCAAGTGTCTGGCGCTCCTTGAGTTCAAATCTGAAGAGGCGGCTAAAAAAGTTTACGATGAACTGCAATACAGGAGAGTAAAAGACAAGGCGATATATGTCGACTTTCTGCCTGTGTCGAAAGTTGAACACAAAGAAATTGAATTTACAAACAAGATTATCATCAAAAACATACCATTCCAAGCTAATAAGGAGGAGATCAAGCGCATATTGACATCACAGGTTAAGCTGAAGGATATAAGACTCCCAAAAAAGAGAGACGGCATGCACAAAGGATATTGCTTCGTTACTTTGAACAGCCCTGAGGACGCCAAGGCTGTGTATCAATATTTCGGGAACAACACACACTTATACGGCCGAAGATTGGTCATCGAACCTGCCCAGAAATGATACGGTGAAGTGCCCGTCTGACACCATTTCACTATTCTGCAAATAAAAAGTTACGGTATAAAACGAAATATGATTTAAAGAGCAGCACGATCCAATTGTTTTGTCAATAAAGATCATTTATACACCAATTGCATCCATAATTGCACTGTGTTACGAATTGAATGGGAATAAACTTTTTGAACAAGCACAGTGTTACACTTCCCTAATGGTGCTGGTTGAATGCATAACTCCAACGTTTTGCCAGGCTCACTTCCATAGAATTTTGCCACGCATCATGCTAATAACACCTGCCAACAAACAGCAAGCTGCTTTAAAGCTTGTTTCAGATATAAGCACGGCCATACGTTCCGCAAACAAAAAAATGTATTTACTATCCCATTCATACAACATAAGTTTTTGTTACACGTTCTACGTTATAAATGGTGTGATTCGATACCGTTTCATGTTTCAAATAGGGATATCCATCAAAAACACAAAACAAGGGTGCACCCCCAATGGAACTCGATTATTACTTTTATCCCGATGAGTACTTGGAATATGATTTAGACGACTTGAACATCCCAGTTTCAATTTTCTTTGAGACATGCGAAGACGAGCTAGAGGATTATCCTCTGCCACATGCCAAGAATGAAAAGTTTAAGCTTGACTTCGGAATATTTGACTTTAACATAAAGTAAAACTAATATAACAGATTGTATACGTGATTTATACCGTGAACAACACACAAATTACGTTTATTTCTCGATGCTATTTACTCGTCGCAACTTTTACAAGAAATTACCGTTCCTCATGTCTTCTTAATAAAACATCCTTTTGCAGCACAGCGTTATGAACACTACCATTTTTATTTAAGTAGCGCTATGTTACTTCATAATTTGGTGTACATACATGGTATTTCTGTTCCTGCCACGTTGTTATGAAGTGATTGGTATCGCTTCAACCAGATGATTACTTTCCCAATTAAATTATTAGTATACCTCCTCACACCAGGCTTGCCACACAATCCATGACCTAATACTTGTTCATACGTACAGAGAAAAAACCTGCCCAGTGTTTAGCTTGTGCAAGTTATTTATGGCCTGCTATACTTATCTCGACTTGTAATCCGATACGGCACTGATTAAACAATGTTAAATGAACAATCACGTTCACATATTAATGTTCATATGATGTACTACATTCAAGTTGGTATTAGTTCTCGTTGTAGGGGCATTCTTTAGTTGAGGAAGCACAATACTACTTTTTACTATTCTTGCTTTACTTCTGTAACCATCCATGGATGAACGAATAAATGATACATTATCACATGTTTATTTTACATTATTATTTCTAGTACTACCGCACTGTTGCACAAACACTCCTACACACGACTCGTTAATCCAAGGCTTTCAAAAATATGTTCGGGAAGAAGAAAAACATCAGGATTGCATGGTACTTCTTTGCTTCCTGGTACCAGGGAGGTGCACATCACACTCGTGAGAATATTCAATTGATAACACGGCCGTAACGTATGAAAATACGCTCGATGCTGAGCATATATCAACGGAGTGGCTCATGAACCATTCGTATGATACCTTTTTTTATTTTTTTCGCGTTGAACTCTCATAATTTGCGGGTTAATGATACAACAATGGCTGCGATTATGTGATATACGTATGAACGTGATCATTTCATTGCAGGCGTCCGCTTCTCTTATTTCCCGCCACGGGAGGACAAGAACTTCCGTGCCATATCGCTCTTTTTTGCCTACAATCCTTTCTGCGTTCAGCTATCACAATCGTATGAACCATCGTTCCCATCGATCGGTTATATCAAGACGTGTTTGGGTGCTCGTCCATGACTTATGTCACAGCTAATCTCCGGCCTGTGCTGGTGAACAATCTTACACTTTTGAGAAAGTACGAGCAGTGTATCAGAGCTAACACACCACTTTCGGGATAACCAATACGGTCTACAGCTCAAAATACACGAATCAGTTCTGCAAGCGCAACAGATTCGCTAGATGCTACGCAACGAATTGAAGCGATGCACCACGGATGGCTCAACACTGTGAATCGGGATGTTAGAACAAATAAAAGATAAAAACATCGTTACAACCGCAATTCTTGTGGTCTATAGTGTAAAATTTTGTAGTGCTCAATATAAAACACGAATAAAAACGTAAAATAGTTTAAATTTTACTTTTATCAAAGGTTAAAAAATTGCTTTCATAGACTTTCATTATCCTGGAAATGTTGGGCGGATCGAAGTAGAAGAGATCTATTCTACTGATATCACTCTCAATAAAACCGCTCACTCCTTTTCTACTGTGAATATTACAAAACACGTTCACGATATTCCTGTTCAGGTACATCACATCGTTTTTGAACAGCGTATTGATGAAAGTTTCGTATGTATTCGCGTATGTCTGCTTAAAGCAGAGTATGTATAGAAAGTACTGAGCAGCATTTAAATACAGGAATCGGCTTTTCAGATCCTTAAAATATTTGAAAAAGCACGAGATGGCCTTTGCTATCAGATTCTCTTCCATCTTTCTCCGTACAAGATAAGACGAAAAATACGCGATATAATGGCCAGAAAGCGCGTGATTCCTCTTCAAAGACGAGAGAAAGTACACAAGCACATCCTCTGGATCCATATTGTATATCAAAAACTGCACATACCTCGTCTTAGATGTGAACACGTATTTCTCAAAAATATCAAAGACTCCCACAATCCCTACATCCTTGAAGAAACAATCGAGCTTCAAAAAAATGTTGGTGAATGTCTGTATTTGTTCTCGTAACGTTTTATTTTTATCGTTGCTTATTGGTGTAGGATACATAGACTCTATTTCGTTCCATTCCTCGTCAGAGAGAGAATCGTACTCAGATGCAATATTTACATCAGTTTCCACCATAAAATCAACTACCTTGGCTAGCAAAGACCTCCGCAGCAGCGGATCGTACAGCAGCTCAACGCAATCACAAACACTGTTTATGTTTGCAAACAGACTCCTGGTATTTTTCAGAATCGCAATTTTATCTCTGTTGGAAAGTGGCTTGTCCATTGAGATGCTACGCAACACGGGATCAATTGCGCCCGCCTTGGCACACTTTTTCTGTACATCGGACACTTTCGCAACATTATCTGGCGCCTTCTGCACACCAGCCATCCTCGTACCGGCACCGTCCCTTTTCTTACACCGACTCTTGCCCAAAACTCCTGCACAGTTCCCAGCTTTCAGCTTATTCACACTTTTCTTCACTTTTCTGGTACGAAGAGCCTTTTTAGCGCTGCTCTTTTTGTTCACCATTTTTTACAATTCTAAGGGCCTTGGAATTAAAAATTAAAATTACTGAAAAATGTCACCATTGTATACAATAACGCATCGTGAACCGTATGTAATGGTGTAATTTATGCGGCGAGTAAATTTAATTTACTGCCATTCATGCATTCTAAGAGCACTATTCGTGCTAAATTAAATTTACTTCTCGTACAGACAGCCTTTTATATAATTCCACCGTTTTTTGTAATTGAATGCCCAAATATTAGAACTTGATGTAAATGGTTGCTGGTGAGGAGCTATCGATTCAAAAAATGGTTGAGTGCTAATAGAACACGATTACACTGCTCTAAGTGCACACATGCCACATACTCCCTCTCTGGTTTTTTGTCTTCATGGGGCTGTGCTACGTGGCAAAAGAGGATGGGTGGAACTGTGCGATACTGTTCTGCCGGCATGTAAGTACGGTAATGAGGATATTTGTGTTGTATAACGCCTTTAAAGATATTTTACCTCTGCAAATATCGCTGTTGACCAACAGCCACAGATAGGTATATTGTACGCCGATTCATGGCGTGATTAAATTTTGATAGATATAAACTGCTATTTCGTGGAATGACTCTAAAAGTGATGAAGAAACAAACATGTTTGGAAAAAATGAGATGAAATAAAATCAGAATGCTGGAAAAGTTGTTTGGGCACTGTGAAATGGGAAATATACAAAAATGTTTTTGACTAAAATAATGCAAATACTTTATTTATGCATTTCAGGTATAAAATGACAAAAAATACAAATTGCATGAAAAATCTTGAGCAGTGCTTTAAACTGCCGATGAGCAACGTAAACATAGTTAACAAAGTGCTGAACTATGTGAACAAAAATACGATGAACAAACAGAATGTGTACCGGTACATCGTTGACGAACGAATAGATTTGGACCATTGTATGAGTGAATTCGTCGATTCAGAAATTCAGATAAAATTTGTGATCTTGCTGCGCAGGGTACTGCCCAACAACGAGTTCCTAAGTATATTTGAAAATCACGGCATGGAGGTGTCAGGGCTAGTGTGCAGGAACATAAGATGGTACTGCTGTGAGTTACTAACACGCTACAACAGGACCACAAAAATATTTGGATACAGTTTGGACGGGTACAACATTATTGCAGGCACTGATCAAAGACAAAACACACCCACCAACACTTCGTACGTGTTTTTCAACCGGTCGGATATCAAGCTGTACGACAATAAGAAAATAATATCACTGGCGTACAAAACTGTGCTTGGGTACTCTCTTGACACGACCAAATTAGTTTTATACAGAGAAAATATCAGAATAGAACTTTTCACCTCTGACATTTGTAGTGAAGCGGTAGATAAAAGGTTCCTGGAACTGGGCATTGCAAAGACAAGTAGTCGTAGCGATAAGGCGTGCAGCAACACGGAAATGACAAATGCCATGAAAGTATCGGTACCTATAAAAAATATCTGCATGAAAAGCGATGAAAATATCAGCGGAGACAGCACAAGCTGCAGTTTTGTGCAAAAAAAGATTCAAATGGAAGACGGCTTGGAGTTCACTATCACGTCAAAAATGAAAAGATCCATGCGCTTCGATTTCCGAAAGGCTTTTGACGACTCAGCCAGTAATGATTGTACAGAGAACAATGAACGAACAAATATGTGGCCTAAGAACCAAGGAGTACGTGATGTAAGTGGTTTGGATGAGAGGAATGAAGAAACTGGTACTAGATTGATAAGCAAACACGTGATGAAGGATCATGAAAAAGTGAGCAAAGAAATTGTAAGTTTTGGAAGATCGTGTACATCGAATACCACTGGGCATGCGGTGGAGAAGAAGAAATTACGTGATAAATGTCTCACAAGCAAGCGGAAGAATACTGTAGAAATGCCTAAAGAAACATCAATACGCAAAATTTATGAACAAGTGAGCAATCCGTTTCTTAATTTCTCTTCCTCTACCGGTGGGTCAAATAATGACATAATTCACAATGGCTGCGATCAGACTTTTAGGTACGAAAAGATGAACAAAACGTTAGGTAACGGATCATCAATCGAACATAGTACGGTAAACGAACACAAAAGGAAAAGTTTAAGTTCTAATATTGACGAAATACTCGGTTCTAACACAGAGGAAGAGCATATGCGGCCGTTCCGTAAGACAGAGCAAACTGAAGTAAATCCGCACAGCTATTTCTGTTCCTCTAATACCGGAAATATTGAAGTTATTCCCAATAAGAGCCATGTAAAAAACAATAAAAGCTCATTCAAATCAGCCGGACGGAGAAGGAGTAAAAAGAAGAAAAAGGCGCTTGCAGAAAACATATCATGCATAGAAAAACACGTTCTATATCATAAAAGTAATCTGCGTACTACCAAAACTTCGAATGTTAACACAACAAATTACTGTAAGGGACTGATTGGAGATATAGCAGCATCGAAAGAGGGCAAAAAGTACAAAAGTATAATCGAGGAGCACATGATAAGCTATAAAAAATTGATCTCTTGCACAATGAGCGTGGTAGAAAGAGATCTTAAAATGTTATCTAAAGGGATTAAGCACCTCGTAAATTATCGAATAAAGTACCGTTAGACTGTCCTGGTCGAATAAGTAAAACATGTGCGTGCATGGGGATGTATTCTTTTTGATCGTACATCATTGTTTAATGTCACATGTTTTAATTTAATGGTATTGAAAAGGCTCGTTCTGCAGTGCACCTTGTTCACCAAAAATCGCTTATTTGCCTCCCATACAACAACACCTAGATAAGCACACTTTTCTTACCTGCTAGGGCCAACCGCAACCGTTGGTATTCGGTTAATGTTTCGATACCGAGCTAAGGGAGGTATTAAATCCACTACTGCCAACATACGGCAATTTAAACTGGTGCAAACCCGGGATATGGTTTCAAAAAGAAACACAGCAATAATCAGATGAACGCATTTGTTGCAATCAACCAGTGAACTATTATATAAGAAATTATGAATCATAGTAATTTTAATATTACGGACTCTTTTACAATCCATGTCCTTACAGTTATTCCTTTTCGTAGTCCTCAAAATCAAATGCCTTTCTAGCATTCTTTAACTCCTCATTGGTCAGTAACAAGTCCTTAACTCTCATGTATTTTCTTCTATCCTTCTTCAGAATGTACAGCAAATCATCTGTTTTCGTCTTTCCCTTTATTTTCGCCATGTTTTGTGTTTTGATCAACAAGTTCTTGAGATAGCCCTGAAGATAATCATGGAGCACTTCTATCGTATCATTTCGCGGTATTATGGCGTCACCAAAACCGTACATCATCAGCTTTAGATCTTTGGCAAAGGAAACCTTTTTTTTCTCTTTCATGATGGGTTATCGGTATTTTCTCATTTGTTGCGATGCTAGAGAATAATACGCGGAGCACTTACGTTTATCTACGCCACCGAATGGTTCTGTGTATCCTGAAATGTTGAATCGGTGTAAAAACTGGTAGGGAACTTCGTAGAAAAGCTTAGCTGACCGTTCTGGAATAAGCAAAAATGCCTTACTCGAAAATGTATCATCATAACCACGGATCACAAATCGTAATAAGGTAATGACTGTGGTGCATGTAACAAATAAACAGCAATGTTAGTAAAAAAACACAAAATAACGTCAAAATTATTTAAAGTAGTCTTCCATCTGGTTAATCACATTCTTCGGCAAAAAGCCGGTTGCTTGCTGCTTGAGCTTTGCCTTCTCACTTGCGCTCATTTTGGACGTATCTGCGTTCAAAAGATTCATAAAACCTTGATTATTACCCAGTTTCTTCATCAAATTGGCCATCATTTCAAATTGCGCCACCAGCTGAAGTACCAATTCTGGTCTAGTCCCACTTCCTCTCGCGATTCTTGTAACTCTGGTAGGTTCTCTTTTCAAAATTTCACCATCAGAGCCCAGCTCCTTTTCTGTCATAGAATCAAAAATGCACACCATCTTTCTGAGAACTCCCTCATCAGACATGGGGAAATTCCCCATTCCAGGTATCATTTCCATAACTTTGCTCAGGGGACCAAGCGACATCAACTGCTGCAGTTGCAGATTGAAATCTTTAAGCGTGTATTTCCCACTTCTAATCTTGTTCACAATCTCTTTCTCGTCTATCTTGAGGTCTTTTATCTTCTCGGCCAGTCCCTCCAGGTCTCCCTTTCCCAAAATCTTATTTATAAATCGCTTTGGACTGAACACATCCAAATCATCCATTCCCTCGCCACTACCGATAAACTCGATCGGACACTTGGTTATCGCGACTGAAGAAATGGCACCGCCCGCCTTTTCAGCACCATCCACTTTTGTCAGAATAATGCTACCCAAATTTACCTTTTCTTTGAATCCCATAGCCTGATGCTCGGCACTTTGTCCGATCCCAGCATCCATGACAAAAACAATGTTGTCAGGCGCTATAGCGTTTACAATCTCCTCCATTTCGTTAAACAGATCATTCTCCTGCGTGTGTCTGCCGCTCGTATCAACCAAAATAACCTCAAACTTATCCTTCTTGAACTTTTCGACACCCTCTAAAGCAACCTTTACCGGATCTGGGTCGGAGCTGCCAAAATACGGAACATTAATCTTCAACGCATTCTGCTTTATTTGGTCAAATGCACCCGCTCGAAATGTATCTGCGCACACTATACCCGCTTTATATCCTTTCTTTTTATAAAAATTCGCATATTTACACACAGTGGTTGTCTTACCTGCGCCCTGCAACCCAACCAACATGATAACCTGTGATCTTCCCCGTTTGACTTTGTAAGGCTCACACTTCGGATCGACAAGATTTACCAGTTCGTCAAATATGGCGTTGTATACCCATTTTGCCTTGTTTATACCTGGCTTAAATTTCTCATTTTTTATCTTGTTGTCTAAATTAATCTTGAGCTGCGTTACACACTTAGTACCCACATTATTTTGTATAAGCTGCCTTACTATATCTTTTATGGCAGCGTCTATCGCCTGATCTGTTACATCCCTCCCAAATAAATTCTGTAATGTTGAATTGATCGACTTTCCGAGATCAAAAATCATTCAAGGGGATGCAATTTAATTTTTTATTTATTTAAGACCAGAAGCGCTTTTATTGCCACGTACCTATCACAAATTTGGTTTGGAAGGTGACGTATTGAGATAAAAGATAAAAATGAACATATCGGAACATGACAGCTTATATAACTTATGCATGGTGGAAGAGAATATGATAGGATTACTAAATAGTGAAAGCACTTGATAGGACAGTGTTCGATAATTTTTGTGGCCTTTATGTTGAAGGCTCCTCACCGAATTGGTTCTAACAAAGGACACACCATTCATTATCAAGACTATGATACAAATAGAACGATCATGTAAATAAAAGCCTATCGTTACGTTTATTGATTGCAAAGAAAGTGATATGAAATATGCGGGACTTTTAACATGAACGAACGAACGAACTTATAAACTGAAATGATTCTACTAACATGTTGACTTCGGGCTCTACCAAGTTAAGCGCAAAAACGTGTTAAAACGCTCTGAATCAAAAAATAATTGCAAATGTGCAGCTCATAACACAAACTCTACTGTAAAACTGCCACGAATTATTGTTTGAATGGATAAAGTATTTGGTCCAAAACGGCGAAGAGGAACATTCGCGTTGGAAACAGCTATATTTATACTATAAAATACATTTTTTCCATGATAATGGTTTATTCCAACCTACCAATTAACGCATGATAGATTGTTTGAGGTTAACACATGAACTAAAAGTGGGCGAATAACGAAAACTCTTCGTAAAAATCAAAAAAACGATACCGCACCCGTTAATAAAGTGAACTGTGTATATTTTTGAACGGAATTATGGTTCAAATCACTAATTAAATCATCTCGTTACTGCAGATTAATAAAAAGTGAAATAACGAATAAAATTTCTACGCTAAAATAATCTTTCCTTGACTCGACTGATTAAAATCATTCTTTCGTTACGATCGCTCAGCAGTTCCTGAATCATGCTATCCTTTTTTGCAATCTCTCTAATTAAACTCTCACACACATCCTGAGAGAGTAAAAGCTGTTTTATCAACGCATCTCTTTCGTTTATGAGGTTTAATATCTTTGATTTGCCCGGGTTTAGAAATGTTAAAACTGATGTTTCGTCTGTTTTAACCGTGTTCTTATGAATATAGGAGGTTTTCTTTCTGTCGTCGCGTTGTTTTAGTGAAGTAGACGAATTTGTATCCCGATCTGGTGCATTTGCCGTGTCTTTCTGTAATTCTACTTTTATAGTATCACATTTCACTTCTTCGTGCTTTTCTGGACTTTCTTCACCATGTGCACTAGATAAAATACTTGTATCAGTGCCGGACACAATACTCTCTTCGCCTTTATTTGTGCCAGTACCCGAGACATCAACACGTATTTTTTCGGTGCTATTTTTCTCTATGGCCTCTTTTCCAAACTGCTCCAAACTATCCATTTGATAAGACATGTACTTCTTCACCAGGTCATAATAGATCCATTTTTCGCAGCTCTTTCCCAGCTTCTCCTCTTTCATTTTTTTTCTGCAGTTTTTCATGAAATTATTGAATATATTCTGAACAACCAACGGGTCATCAATGTTTTCTATGTTTTCTGCGATCTTTGTCCACAATAATTTGTGATTCTTTGAATCCTTTCTATTTTTATTGAATTCTTTGTTCATTTCAGGATCAAATCGCAGCATGAGTATTTTCTCCAGCAATTCGTATCTTTTTTTGCCGATCATAGGGAGTGGACGAACCCGAAATTTAAATATAAAATAATTGTCAGAGACCAACATATATAATGGTTCAAATATGATTGTTCACTATTATTGCACTACACCGGTACATCACTATATCGAAACATGTTTGGTACTACCGTTTGAGTAGCGCAATGATTAATTCATAGAACAGGCCGAGCCAGTAAGTAGCTTGCACATTATCAGTTATTAATTTGGTGGATAGCTCGTAAATATCAACTTGATCGGCTCAATACTCAAATTTAACGATTACCGACATTATTACACGAAAATAACAAATATATTTCACACAATGCCAATAAATCCACAATTAAGTTGTGATTATGGTGAATCAATAAATCGTGTGTTCACCACTCCGCATTCGCTGGTAGAAGTAAAATTAGTTACGGATGCCGGGCATGAAAATTTAAGTGGCATTACGTGCACATCAACTAATAACTTGCAATAACCGCTCCTAACAAGGTTAGAAAACACAAAACACGCCACTATCATGTCAAGTCCAAATTGACTTTCATAATTTTCTATTTTAAAAAATGTGGACGATACCGTAGATCCATGTCAAGGATTTTGATGATGCTCGCAATTATCTCATTCTATCACGTAAGTTCAACTGCTGTAAGAGACAATAGGAAAGAATTCTCCAGCGGTTTTTGTAAACACTCGATAAATCCTGATCAGAAGGTAGGCGGGGATGAGCTAAGTAACGAGGAACAAAAAGAACATAGCAAGAAGGAATTCATGATCAATACACATATAGAAGAGTGTACAAAAGACACGAATGTAAGACTGATGATGAATGATCCGTTTTATTACCCAATCCTACGATTCATACGTACGAACACCAAACACAAGCATCCAAAGTATGGTAGGCCCGTTGCTATATGCGGTCCGAAGCATATTTATCTGCGATTGGATAATAAGACACGTTTAGATCAAATTAGAATTTATTTAAAGCTATTGCGGTATTGTCTTAAAGTTGCTGCGGGATTTTACGAGCCACTTCTCAAAAAGTTAAAATCGGAGATAGGGTGGAAAACTCGTTCACAAACCAGAGAAGTTGATGAAATATTGGAAGTAATATTTCAACTATCTGTGTGTAAAAAAAATATCTTCAAAATAAGTAGTATTCTGCATGTCCAAATCATTTCGCTGGGTGCTAACGCAAAAATGTTAGATTTGCTGGAAATATTTGAACAATCACGGCAAACAAACCTTTTAAGTATAAAAAGTTTATACACAAAGCTGGAGAATATACTGTTTGCAAATTGTTATAAAAAAATGAAATCTTGTTACACTGGAATGCATGGATTAACCAACAACAAAAATGAAAGACTTGACACTGCAGATATTGTTGTCAGTGCATCAAATTTAACGAGTCAAAGCGGCAGGCACGTGCGATACAAAAGGGTCAAACACAGGATCAAAACTGTGAGCAGCCACGAAGTAGCACTCAACCTAGATAACGGATCAAACTATACTTCTGTCAACAATACACGATGCCTTGCACAGCAAGATGTATTTGTCGAACATACCCATCATGTGTCAAGTTCTAAAACCAACATTGATAACCAAAATACGAGCACTGAAGATCGGGTAGAAGGTTGTAATCGCAAAATGAATAAGGGAACGAATACATCACATGAAGAACATTACGAAAATAGATATGAAATGGTGGGAGTAACCTTATATATCGTGTCAGATATGCAGAAGTATGAGCAAACGAAAATATTCATTGAGGCTAGTCCAACGGCTCCCTCGACCATTTCCGGGATGGCACGAGAAAGTAAAAAATGTCAAGAAGCTCACGAGATGGTAAAAATAGTAATAGAATCGAATGAATCACACAAGTGTGGTTGTCATGCCAAAGAATACCGGCTGAATGGTTTGATTGAACCGATATCGAATCGTAAATGTGTGACAGGCAAAGATGTTTTGGAAGAAAGCAAGACAAAAATTATTGACCCACCAACTGATGTTGATCATAAACCTAAGCATCAGAATGATAAAGGGCAGAAAAAAAAGAAAAACACAATCATACTGGCATGTATGTTTTGTGTGGTTATAATTGTTCTTGCATTTATCATAACGTGTATATGTCGATGGAGACAAGTGAAGGAGATGCTTAATTGACTATAAAAACACCTTTTCTTTAACATAAAATTTTATTTACAGCCCTTCTATTACCACACAAACAGTTTTTCCTGACTCAGTTCAGGGTACATACTGTAATTCGCTTATATTATAGCTACCGTCTTTTGACCTTTACAAAGTGCTCTTTCAGCACTGCAACCAATCAGCTGAACAATCATCTTTTCGGCAAAACATTTAGCGAATAACTCGTCTTGACCCATTGTTCCGCCTAAGTGTTGGCGACATTTCGCACAACCATCATACGTTACTACAGCGCACGTTCTGCCGCAGGGATTACTTGGGACAATCAAAAAATGAATGCTGTTACTCCAAGTGGTCGATGTGCGGCCCTTCACTCTCTCTCACTTTCATGCGAGTCCGAAAGCATCAGCTCATTTTGGCCAAGTTGCCTCAGCCCAACTGCCAATAACCAATAAATTGCGTTAGCTTTACCGTGTAATCGGCATTACAAGTTTCTGTTCGAGATCGTAAAGAGGCTGCCACCACTCCGGGCAGTTCTTATGACTATATTAAAAATTTAAGTCAAACACACAAAAAGTCAAAGCTTCTACAACCGCTTAGTTAAGCGTGCTCAAAAACCCGATATAGTGCAAAGGTGCTAACATCGTTTCATTAGGCACGCCCAACAGAACATAAACCATTAACCTTTACTTAAATATTTTTGGTGCATAACACGACCGTTTCGTCACCTTTCTCAACCACCAACTCGTCAATTGAACGCAGATCGATAAAACTCGAAAGAAAGTACATAAGCCTTATGTAACGAACCGTGCTCATACCTTGATTTTCAATAAAGAAAGGATCATTTTCAGGTTCATCTAACTCAATTATAACCAAGCGTTTCAACCTTAACTTTGAAAAACCCGGTATTTCAACTTTTGGTGGCGCATCGGTATAGGTAACCTTCAAGCATTCGAGTGTCTCCGGTAAATTGAAGAAGTTGCCCGTGTTAGTGAAGAACTCCGTTTCTACCGCAAATGTTTTTAAGGACCTGTGCTTGCGAAAACCAACCGCGTTATCTCGCTTGGTCGAACAACACAATTTGCGACACGCGAAAGACGAACCTCGTCCTTTTAGAGCCACCAGAGTTTTGAGGTTTCTTGGTAGATGTTCGAGCAGCTCATCGTCAATGTATTCGTAGTCGATTGCAAGAACACTCAGCACGACAAAATCGCGTATCGCATTCATGTTCCGTATGGATGGCCTAAATCCATGTAGTAGAAGGTGCTCCAGAGTGTTCTCGCTTCTGCTAGTGAAGATAGGCTCGATCAGAATGTTCATGGTCTCGTTTAAGAGCTTCTCCAAAAAATGGCCATCTTCTTGAGAAGATTTACAAATAACCTTTGATATATCGTCCTGACTAAAATATTGCAATTCTCTTTCGGGAATCGTCAAATTACCTACAACCAAGTCTTCGAGCCTAATACCAGAATTAGGTGATTTATGAGAATACAGAGTAAGCTTCTTTACGTTATGGCACATCACTAACAGCGATTGAAAATATCTGGTATTACCATTATAAACTAGTACTAGCTCTTCTACGCCATTAAGATCTGGAAATTTGATCATCGAATTATTTGATATTGCTTGTGGCTGGTAAACAAATTTTTTCAGTCTCGTAATCTCAGATAAATCAAAAAGACCCGCACAATTGATCAGCGAAACTCTCTCACATTCGTTGTCACATGCCAACCATACGTCTTGTTCAACCACCTGTGATACCAATTTAACCGATCTCAAGCTCCCAGGAAATCTCTTTATGGACTGTGGAAATAACCGCTCAAAAATTGTTTCACGTTTACTCTTAACAACTGGTGCTAAAAAATTGATCCATCCAACCGCAACACCCTCGATATCAATAATGGTAAGGGAAGTTGCACTGGACAGATCGAATCGCCCAACACAGTCGACTAATCGTAGTGACTCACATAGTCCGCCGACTTTAAGCTTAGTATTCTCCTCAATCGTGACTTCAATTAGTTCCAAGTACTTGACCCGAGGGTCAATCTTCAAAGTTTTTTTAACCGCCATGTTACGCATGCCTAGAAAGATATCGTTTGAATTCTTCATCCGTTTTATGGTGAATGTTTCAGTGCCATGCAAATTCATCTCCTCCATATTAATGACCTCGCTCACATCAACCACACCAGAAAAACGTACGATGCGCAAATTTTCAATCTCGCTGTTCAACTTCAAGACGTAATCTCCCTGGAATAGACTATTTGTTATTTCAAACACTTTAAGATGCTTGTTAAGCGTAAAATTCCGTTGCAAATAAATATCAGCAAGATGAAGTGCCTGCAAATTCACGAAGCTGCTTATATCTTGAACAAAAAATGACCGTTTCATCACGAGTGATGTGATAAATAAATAATTTGCTAACGTAGTTCCGACTTCACAGTTGTCAACCACAAGACGCATACAGCAATCGCTAGCTCTCACCTTCATACCAAAGCCTCCGGTAATGCATGATAGAGTCAAACACTTAATATCGTTCCGGATATGTGCCGTATTTTGCATTTCACAGTCCTTTATGACCAGGATATAACTGTTAGCGAACAATTTACTTTGGAAGAAACAGATCGATGGCTGCTTGCCATTGAGATGTAGAACATTTTCATGCCGAGCCTCGGTTAAAAACGGTAAATTGAAACGACCATTGCATTCTTGTAAAGACACTAAATTAGGATCTCCCTCGATCACGAAGCATGTGTCGTTCGACATCGATACACGGTCCAGGCCAATAGCCTTTATATTTCGCGATATGTGCACGTCACTGCGCAATTCGATATCACGTGCAGTTAGTTCTTCGGCATCCGTTGAGAAATAGTAATGTGCCACGTCAGATACTAACATGCGCAGACACAGCTCCCTAAAAATATTGTTCTTCTCTTTCCGAACCACCATATCGCAATTATCTAACGTGAGCCGCTCGCATTTTTTCTCGAACACTATACTCTGCTGATCCACTATTCGAACATTCTTCAAAACGGCAGTATAGACCGCATATTCAACCGATATCATCCTTGTTAGTACGATATTTGCCATGTATAGCGAATGTTTATTGTTGTCCACTTTAGACAGGTGTATGCTGCTCGAGGAGTTGTTTAACTTTATGCCTGTCCCTTCTTCGGTCTTGAGGCCATGAATGATAAATTCACCTTCACATCTATCAATGATTATTTTCTTCGCCAGGTTACACATTTTAAATCGAGATCCCGTCCCAACAACAACGTTTTCTAGAATAATTTCATCGACAGAATCATCCAAAACGAGGTCTTCATCTAAAACAACGTTGGCAATCTTCAACCGAAGTTTATTCTCGCGTACACTTCTCTTAAGTTCAAAACAACCGTTAACTTCTGTGAATGAAACGTGTCCTATGCCCGCAACGACGCCCGAGAAGTAGAATCGGCCTATACATCCCTCACATACCATCTCTGTGATTTCATCATTTCTTTCAAATGAAATTACCGCACCGGCAGTCAATTCAATATTGGAAAGACGTATTGTTCTTAAACTTGACTTAAACGATTTGTTGTGGTCGATTACAAGGTTAGATGCTAGCAATTCGCGCATTCTACCGTGAACATCCTTTACATACTCCAATGACCCGCTATAACTAGCGAAATTAACATCATCGATCCCTGAAAGCCTAAAAAATCCTACACAATGACGTATAACAACTGATTTACAGTTTGAAGAAATATTGACAAAATGCGAATCAGAAACATCAACATCTTCCAAATGAAGACTCGCTACCGTATTGCTTATGTCCCAATTATTGATAACCCTAGCGTTTTTCACTTTTATTTGCTTAAAACGGTTTTCTTGGTCCTTTTTTATGATCACCGAAAATTGACATTTCAACGGAAGCATGAGCGTATTCCAATCTACCATATCAGCAATCTTTACCAAACCATTGTGATAATTAATGTCAATGTATTTGCATGCCGAGCCAACATGCAGCTCCACCGCATCATTTTCATGCCGACAATTCCCGACATATAGTTTCTTCAAGAGAGGTGGTAGTACCAACGATGTTTTTAGCAAGGAGTCGTTGATCGATAACAGGCTCACGAATTCTGGGAATATCGATGTTTTGTCAAAACTACAATCATAACACCACAGTTCAAGCTTTTTACCGTTTAAAAATCCAAGATTAAAATCGTAACTTGTGTTACTCAGCCTTAAGATTACCTTTGTGATCTTCTTGTGCAAAATGAAACCGCATATGATCTCTCCGTAGAAATCTTTTAGGATGGTCGGGTTTGGTTCGCCTGCCGAAACACGGGTGTACTCGTATGGGCATGTTTGAACGCGGAAGAAGTTGCTGAAGTCAACCTCAACCGTCATTTCTGGACTTTCTTCGCTTAGGGTGTTGATCCAACGATGCAACGTTTCTTTATTATACCTCAGAAATTGATAATCCATTTTCAGAAAACCACCTGGAATGTCTGAACCAACATTTTCAAGGGAAACGTACAGCGGCAACCTTACATCATTCTTCTGCTTTTTTGTTCCTAAAGCCACATTACCGTGCTGGTCCTTGATAAACAAAATATACTTTCGCTTCACCGTGTTATACACGTTTCGGATAGCGGTCTTTATATCGAATGCTAGGCAATCGACCGTTCCCTGCTCTATAATACCAGCATCTAACTGCTCCTTAGCGCGCTCGGCATGCTGCTTTTCAAGCCGATTTGCTAGGGTACAATCACCTAAGAAACGCCTGTACAGCACACACATAATCACCGATACGTTGTCCATTGATGTAAGAAAATGAAGTATGTTGTGTATTTCATCATCACTTAGTGGTTCATCGCAACTTTGCGCCAGATTCAAAACCTTGGTGTACAGTGACAGCGACACTGGCACTTTAATTTCTTTGTAATGAAAACCATCTCCTTGCATATCGACCCGATCCTCATGGTATATTTCTGCCTTTTTCATGGGATTCAAATCTTGCTCACTGCCTTCTTCCACATTTTCATTTGCTTTCAACGTTTCACCAGTATCATCTTCAACTGCAACATTGCATACATCTTTGCTTATAAGGTGTAACTCATCCCTTTCCCGGTCATACGGCTGGATAAAGAAGCTTTCAATCCATTCCTTTTCCTGAGAATCACCTAAAATATTACTCAACATCGCATCCTCCAGGGAGTCAAACACTTTGTGATCATTACCCACTCCTTCTTCACCCTTGAATCGCAGAATGTACATCACAGTAGCTGATACGCTGTTCAGTAACGTGTGCATCGTTAAGAACATGGCATTGCATGGTCATTCCTTTATATATTTTTACCTGCTTCCTAATAAGTAACATTATGTTGATTTATTTGACTTTTCTCCCAAAAAGTATGCGTTTGATAGTTAGCAATACCATTTACAGATCGAGCATATGTTATTATAATTGATGTTGGTACGACTACCTGATTTTGTCGGGCCGATTTGCTGTATATAAAATAATGTAGAATACTCGTTATAATGCTCTTTAAACGTATGTAATCTGTCTGACACTTCGAAGTATTTTTGCCAATTCAATTTAAAAATTGCGCCTGTCAAGCCGTACAAATTTGGATAACAAATAGCAATACCTTTAGTTACTACCTATCTTATTATTGTTGTTATTGTTTTTCAATCAGCTGATGGTTTTCCTCTCGTTATTTTGGTGTTAATGACACATTTAAAATAAATTCAAAAACCTAAAATGATGTTTTGAAATCATGGAAAGGTAGTAAGTTGAATGGAAAGAAATTATAAGAGTATAATTGATTTGCTTGCATTTCCTCTGTAATATTTATTTATTCAATACCATATCACATAGCCTGCAAATATAAGACATAAATTAAGCCGCATTTGGTTAACCTTTCATGTTGAAAAGTTCAAAATTTCCATCATTCAGTTTTTTCAATTATTCCTTACATATTCCTTGATCACTTCAAAAACATAGCGGAAGAAAACGCAGAAACTATTTATGATCGTTTCATGTGCTATTATAGTTCAGGTACTTTGCACCATTCTGATCTAGCAGTATTTTCACAGCGTGTCCGTTTTAAGATTCTGAGTTGACAACTGCATCCTAATATATGCCTGAGTCTTGCTATCTATTCTAATAAAATGGTTAAATACCATACTTAACGCGTAAAAATTGCGAATAATAACTTAATGGCATTTCAAAAAAAATTGCAAATGTCAATTTTTTGATTGTTTTACAGGAGCGTATGGAATAAACACCGAAACAAACAGTAATAATACAAAATGTGTCATTGTCTATTTCTCTAAAACCCGTCCACACGAGCATAAAAGCAACAACTGATATGTCATCTGGCACAATTTCAAATAGGAAAGTTCAGGCAAATCTTTGATGAAATCTATTCCAAAAGAAGAATTTTATTGAAACAAGTAAATTTGCAGCTATGATGTATCTAAATGCGCCTCAAAGTCCGTTTATATGAAGAATCTGTCAAATCAATGTGCAAAATGTTCACCGTTTTAATAATTCGTTTTCAATAAATTACCGACGTAGTACCTCAAGACATCACATTCATCATCTATTGTGTGGTATTTTATTTTCCTCAAACAATAAATTACACCTGGTCGAAGGTTTGCATCTAGATAGCACCGCAAACAGTACAATGCTGCGTTTCTCTGGTCAGTAACCTCGCTCAAACGTTCTTTGAATGTGCTGAAATGTTCTTTGCCCAAATATGTTATAATCAAGTTTATGTTGAGGAACAGAAGATAGTTAACACTGATTTTACCCAGCAGGAACACGCAATCCTCGGAAATTTTTGAGATCAATGTTTTGAGGTTACCATGATCAACGACTACTTCTTGATACATGAGATAATCTGTAATCATGGCCCTGTCAGATCTAAGTAAGAGTTCCTCTACCTGGCGAGTAGGACTGAGATTCAATATCATATCTTTTTTCAATGCGCTGTATTCACGGAAAAACTTTTGGTCATCCTCAGAGCCTCCTTTCTTGCAAATCGCAAGTTCCAAAAAATGGATGTACAAGATGTCAGTGTTCCCCACAAACTTGATGATATCATGATCATAGTTTATGAAAAACATCCTGATCAATGTTTCATCATCAAACAGATGAATATTCCTATTAAAATTACTTGTCTCTACTATTTCGCCGAGTTCGATCTTATCTTTCTCATTTTCAAGAATATGCCTGATAACTTTGGTTTTTTGATCCTCAAACGCAAGTTTTATAATTTCCTTTGTCATAAACCCATTGTGCAGGCATCGTATGAGAAATTCGTTGTTAAGACTCGATACACAATCCGCGAGCTCGATCCGGTATTTCATTATAACTTCGTCCGCTGCATTCACACAGTAGAAATGGTTAAGGTTCCGTATGATTTCTCCAAAATATTTTTTTATATTCTTTGGTCCGTATATTCTACCAAAAAATTTAGAAAACTCCTTCGCTATGACCGTGTTGCTGTCGTTCTTCAACACAAAAGTGAGGAAAAGTACTTCTGTAAACATATATTCTTCCTCCATTTGTCTTTCAGACTCAGTTTTTGGTATTATCTGTGTTTTCATTGATGCATTATCACTGCTCAAATATTTGTTGTAGATTAAATCGACTATCTCTAAGATGCGCTGCTTGTTGTTTGAGGATGTTTTCGAAGCGATATTTTTCAAAAATTGGAGAATGTGCCAGGTAAAATCGCTCGTGTTCTCAATAATCGAGGTCAAACACATCACCGATATCTTATTTTCAAAATAAAACTCAGAAAATATGAGGTTGAGCATGTCCCCTATGTACCTACGGAATGATGGCAGAACGGGTGCGCATGCCGCCAGAACGAAGAGCTTGTTGACGACTTTGTTGTCAGTCAGGTTCCTCATGCTATCAATGTTGTCAAAGAATTCTTCGTAGAGAACACCAGTTTCTAATCGGTCGTTCTTTGCCCCACTTTTGCGTTCACCAGCCGTGTCAAATGAAAGATCATTTTTACAAACAACAACATTCTCAAATTCTGCTATCTCTTCTCTAGAAATTACCACATTTACATCCATATCCATGATTTCTAAAATTTTTACCACCAGCTTAGCATTCTCCAAGCAGACACTCCCCATTTTTTCTTGTACAAAAACAATCAGGTCATCCTTGTTCAGCATATATTTCAGTTCATTCACATACTTAATGATAAGTTCACCATTCAAAACGCACAAAATATCTTTCAAATATTCACATATGTTCCTTTGCTTTGTCAGACAAAGCAATTTCTCCGCCAGTATCATGTTCCTGCTTTTCTTTACCAACAAAATGCAAATTTCCAACGATTCTTTGTCTAATTCCGACGTAAACACTATGTTATCAATAAACGAATTGCCTTGGTTCTTTTCTGTGAGATAATTTATTATTTTTAGCCGCACATCGCTAAGGTTCTTGTTCTGAATTTTCAGTTTCTTCAATTTTTGTAAACTCAAATCAGAGATCTGTTTGTTCTGATGGTGGTAAAGCCGGAGCAAAGTCGGCAATCTTATCTTTTCAACGTTTTCAAGAATCAAAACCATGTGTTCCTCATTTTTGCGCTCATTCAGCACACATTCGATTTGCTGCATGATTACAAATGTGTAAAACTTGTCCCATAAATGTATCTTTATGATTCGATTGTCATGGCCGAATAAATCGTTTATATACGGTTGTACATCTTTTGGTCGTATGTAGCTGAGGATATAGAAAATGTCATCTTCCCTGTGCTGAGCGATCAGGCCAGTAACGTCGTTATAAATACACTTGTAATATAAATTACCATCTTCAGTATTTACAGCCTTTCTCAACCTACCGGTAACAGCCGAATCGTACCTTGTGTATGTTAAAAGATTTTCATTTTCAGCCATGTCTTCGTTGTTTGGCAAAACAACATTATTGTCAACTATGAGCGTCCGATCGAGCAGCTCATAAGCGATTCGTGCTTCCTCCAAGCAGCACATCGATGCATCGATACTCTTCAAGAAAATGGATTTGTATCTCTCATGTCCTTTTATGTATTCAAAGCACAACTTCAAATCGCTATCTCTTAGGTAGTTGTATATCAAATCATTTTCTCTGTTGAAATACTTAAACACGTCTTCGACTCCATGCCTTAACAAAAATTGGAACGATTTGAACGAATCCTCATCATTTTCATACTGCAACAGAATTCTCAAACCGTTCTCGTCCACTCCGCTCTCATAGAGTTCAAAAAACACTTCGATCTCGTACATCGTAAAATCAATATCATACGACAGGTAACACTTCAAATCTTGCTGCGCTATTTTCTTCTTCTTCATAAGATTCGTCAATTTGCTGTCAGGAGTCTTCTTGAAGCAAATAACCAGGTCTTTAAGAAGTTCAAAATTTTCTCTTTTCAAAAACAGGTAAATTTTCAAGTCCAGTGCGTCATTGAGCCCTATGATACTTCTAAAAACATCCGCAGTGAGAAATGTCAAATTCAGCTCCAGCACAAGAACCGAACTGAACATATAAACCCTTTCCAGTGATTTATAAACGATAGCGTCCGTTTCTGTCGGTTTTTCGCAGGTACTCTCGCATTCAATGATTTCTTCCGGTATGCTCTGTCCCGAGACATAGTAATCAAGAAACAATGATTTCAGATATGCCACATTGGCAAGGCAGTAGGAATAAAAGCTCCATCTCTCTATTTTATATTTTTTCATGATTTGCAGCGATGTCTCGATCGTGTAATTGAATGGATTGAAGTTTTTAATAACAGATCGTTTGATGCAGTCGTAATCGAGCAGTTTTACCAGCAATTTCTCATTTTTCCTGTGCCTGTCCATCCGTGATTTACTTCCATTCGGTTCAGCCAAATTTTTGCCATTGTCACCAAGTTCTTCCAGCAGAAATATCTGTTCGTCTCTCAGATCTATCTCGTAACAGCCCTTAGGCAGTGATATAACACATTTTTTTCTCAAAAACGGAGCTAAGTAATCTGCCATCTTCACATCAACGACACGTAGAATATCAGGTGATACCAGCGACGTGAAGTTAGACAGAAACACAAACACCTCACGACCTATCAATTTGTTAGAGTTAATAAACCTTTCAAATGTGCCAAGATCAATTTTCATTTTATATTCGAGTATATCCCCGTAATTCGTGATAGCTCCTCTTTCATAGAAAGCGAACAGCCGATTAAGAATGTAGTACTGATCGCAAGTACCTCTTAAGCACAGCCATTTGTAAGCATTCAAATCATTTCTTTTCGCGACCGCGCTTTGTAACAAATTATTTGAGTAAAATGGTTGGAAACCTTCTCTGTCATCATATTTTCCGCTGTCTATTTCCATCTGAAGATGCTGGTATATGTCATTCTGCAGCTGATCACATATTTTTAGGCCAAAGTCATCCAATGAGCTGCTGCCCAGCAATTTTCCTATGACAAGCTCCAAATTATCTTTCAAAAATTGTGTTTCTAGCACTTTGCACTCGTACAATTTCTCAAATATAACACCAAAGTCGTCACATCTGAACCGCATGGCCAATACCACGCCATTAACAGGGCCGTTGATCAACTCGTCGTAGAAATTGTGATAAAACTCGTTCCATATGTTCCTGAATAACAGCCCAGACCGTTTTATCTCATTAACTACCTTGAGTTCAAACTCATACCGACTGTCTCCATCATGTACTCCGAACTTATCCATCAGAACAACACTCTTCCTATCCTTCAACTCCTTGAAGTGGTATGCAACAATAAACTTGTACTCTTCTGCTTTATTATCCATCGTTTTTAGTTCTTGAACCTGTAATGATTTATTTAACTTACCAAACGCATTCAGCATTGATTTTGCCCGATCCCAGTTCATTGCGGAAGGGTCCGGCAATTTACAAGTATTAAAAGACCAGCGTTCGTATAGCATGCTTACAAGGCTGCAGAACCTAAGATGAGTTGTTTTAGAAACGAATTCCGAGCCTTTTCTCTTTTTACGGATTTAGCGGCACTTTGAGCTGATATTTTTACCGAACAAAAAGAGCTAACCAATGCAATTCTGTACGCAAAGCATGTCTCATAGTTCAAAATAACACTTACACCGAGCAATTCTCCGATTTTCAGAATTGATAAAAATTGTGTTATTGTTCCGCCCATCAGAGCAACTCAGATGGAAGGCGTATCACCGGATAGCAGCGTTAAGAGAATAAAAACATCGGAACCAACGAGCGTATCAGATGAGAACACCCTTTTATCCTTCGCTGAAAGCCAGAGTTATGTGCAACCGCGTCGTATGCGTTTGAACAGAAGGCTCCACGAGTACTACAAATTGCCGCGTGGCAGTGAACAAGTCATAGTGGATCAGTTCTTCAGGCGAGTGAAAAGCGGTGTACAGTACTTGCCTGATTTCAAGAGTGATGCGTTTTATTTCAGCTTGAGGAAGGATTGCACATCAAACGTGCTCAAGCTGTGTGCATCAGTGGACATAATGAGGAGACTGGAGTGTGTGCAGCTTAAGCGCCAGCAGTATTTTTTCATCAATCTTCTGAAGCGGAATACGGTGATTGTTGATAAGTTGATACGCTGGAAATTCTTTTACATAAAGGAGGATGGTAATCCAATGAAAGACAAGAAGCTGCTGTTCAAGTTTAACGTGCTGTTCGCACATTTCGTGAACAGGAGACGGAAGCTAAACGACGTTATACTGAAGATCAACAACAACATAGCACAAATTATTCTGAGAGCCGAGAACTCGAAGTATTACCTGAAAAAGGCTGCAAGAATAGTAAAAAACGAAGATGAGTGAATAAAAGTTTAATTACACCAATCATCGGTACTGTATCATAGTGTGATTTATCGTACATAATCTGTGCACCGAGTTCATCACCTGCAAATTATTGTAATTTAACAGTAAATCTCGTCATTAGCGTTAAGTAACAGGAATCGCGAATGTACCATATTAACGTATGCGCCACACAGAACTGTACCACATCGGTTCAACTCAGTACTATAACTTGAGGAATTGCGAGCGTGATACGATGTTTTTACCCACATATCCATTCGTAACCAGGCCTATTTTTCGCCTATTACTCATTTTTTGGCTAAGAGCACGTTTATGTACCTCCAATGCGGCATTGCCAAAGCAAACATACTTTTCTGGTCCTTAGGAACCGACCTTGGTACAGGCCCTTAGTTCGATAGAAGTACTACAAAAAACTCTTCTCAGGATTGGCGTGTATGATCGTCTCTGTGCATCAAAGCTGTTGCGTGGCGCAAATGCATTTTCTAATGTTAGCACACAACACGCATTTAATGCGTTCACTGACGAAATACGACCGTTATGATGTGGAAATAGCGACCAAATAGAGGAATACTAGACATGCACGGTAACTCGGCGCAAAAGCTCACAAGCTTGAAGGGATACGGCAAAACGATAAATCGGCACTAAACCGTTCACCATAAAATAAAAAGACATGTCACAGCATTCAACTTTACTTCTTCTTATTGATTGTTCTGATCATTTTAAACAGCTTGCTGGCATCCTTCTCATCAGCAAGCTCCCGCTCCAATTGCTTATTCTTCAATTCCAAGGTTTCGAATGCCTTCTTCAGCTCATGCACCTCTTCTTTGGTCGTGTCTCGTTCATTTGTAAGTACCTCAATCCTTTCATCGTTCTCAGTAACGCGCGCCTTAAGCTCATCGTTCTCAAACACTAGGGCGTAATCCATTTCCTGCTTCTCTTCTGGTGCACTGCTCATCTGTATCCTGGTAAATTTGGGCATCGGGATCTTTTCAAGCGCCATGTCCCGCAGTTCCTTGGCAGCATTGACGTACTGGTTTCTCCAATTGTTGATTTCTTGCTCCTTGCATTCCATCATAGAACCTTTGAGTTCATTCTCTTTCTTAAGTGCACTGCACCTATTCTCTAGATCGAGCACGTTCTCCTCGCATCTGCCAATCTGCTCCTTCAAAAGATTGTTGTTGTTTTTCATCGCATGCAGCTCTATACTCAGCTCCGCACACTCCTTGGTAAGACGTGTATTCTCCGTTCGGAGCATCTTTTCCTCATCTGACTCCTTTATCAGGCCATTCAGCCGCTCAAACTCATGCCCAAATTTGCTCAGCTGATCGTTAAGGCCTGCAATGCGCGCATCCCTATCGGCGAGTACTTTATTTACGTCCTTGTTGCGTTCCTCCGCCACTTTCAGTGCATACTCATGCTTGATTTGCGTGTTCGACAACCTCGTGCGCAGTTCGGCAGCCTCATTCCTCCACTTGACCAGCTCCGCGTCTTTGGTCCTCAGCCGGCCGGCCGCATCATCTGCGTTCTTCTTGTAGAATGCCAGGCTGTTCTCCAGATTCCTATTTTTATTCACATGCATATCCACACGCATGCTCACCTCTCCAAGCTTGTTCTTCATTTCATAATTCTCTGCTTTCAAATTCTTGTTCCGCTCCTCCAGCTCGACGATCTCCTGCTTATACTTGCCGATCTTCGTACTGAACGTACTTTGAGACACGCCGAGTGCATCGGTGATGTATTTCTGGTACGCTTTCACCTCGCGCTTCAGAGCGCACAGCTCCTGCGTGCCAATCTTATTCACTGTTTGTGCTTTCAGCTCGTTTATCAGTGCGTCTCTATCACCCATTTCCTTTTCATAACTTGCGTGCAACGCCTCTAGCTCGTTACGCAGATGCATGTTCGTATCTTCCTGCCTTGCAAGCTCCTCCCGCAAGTCATCACGCACTTTACGCTCTGATTCAAGCATTGTCAGATTGCACTCACTGCTGCCTGTCGATTCTTCGTTCTGAATGCGCTCTTCCAACGACGCGCGCAGATCCGTGTTTTCGCTCTCAAGCCGTGCTACGCGCATATTGAGCGCCTTCTTTTCAGAATTCACCTTCGCCATCTCTTTAAGTAGTTCGCCGTACCTGCCCTGCATCTCTGCCAAGTTCTTCTTGTGCATCACGATGCGCTCGTCTTCCAGGCTTTTATTGAACGCTCTCTCCGATGCAATATTCGCGCTCAGTTCCCGATTCGTCTTTTCCAACTTTTTGATTCGCTCTTTGAGTCTGTCCATCTCCTCAGTTGTCGGTCCTTCAACGTTATTCGAGCTGATTAACACTTCATTCTCGCCCTTAAGCACTTCAATGCGTGTTTCAAGACTTGCATTCTTCTCTTTTTCTATGTGCACTAGTTCACGTACGTGTTGCAGCTCGTGTTCCTTCTTGCGCAGCTCGCTTGACAACTTGCGCACCTCATCCTCCAACTTTTGGCTGTTTACAGCTGCGTCTTCGCACTCGGTCTTTGTGTTGTTCAGGATTATGTTAGTGTTCGTCAGCTGCTCGGTCAGGGTGCGGATCGTTCCATCCTGCACAGCACTCTTCCTCGTCAACTCGTGTATGCATCGCGAATTCTCCTCTCTTTCAGCCATCAGTGCATTGTTCTGACCCGTCAACCGCTCGTTTTGAGCATGTTCATCCTCCAAACGGTTCTCTAAGGTCTGGGCAGATTGCTTGAGCGCAGCCACCTGCTCGTCAAGAAGCTGCTTTTGTCCTTCGCCCTGCTTCACTAGGTTGTTTAGACGTATGAGCTCTTTCTCCTTGTCGAGCACTAGTTCTTCCAGCTTGCTCTTGTTCTTTACGGTCATCGCCTGCATCTCAGTTGTGAGGATGTTCACGCGATCCTCGAGATTCTGCCTGTTTGTGCGCAGGTTCTTGTGCTCTTCGCTGAGCGCATCGTACCGCTGCACCAGACCATCCATCTCTTTCCGTAACGCTGCCCTGTCGCTCTCGGCAGTGCTGAGCAGCCGCACGTGCTGTGTACACTCGTGCGCATTCTTCCTAAGCTGTTCCTGCAGAGTGCTCATTTCTTGCTGTCCATGCTGTAACTGCTCAGAAATGCTCTGTCGCTCCGCTCGTATTGCTGCAAGCAGCTCGTCCTTCTGTTCAGCAAGCAGCCTCTCCCTCTCCAGCGATGCTATGAGCTCGTTCTTCTCATTTTCCTTGATTTTTATGGCATCACCAAGTCTAGCAATCTCTTCCACACCTCTGTGTGCCTCCTGCTCCATCTCCTTTATTCTGTTCTGCTGCTCCTTCTCCATCTCATTCTTCTTGGTAACATCAAGCAATGGCTTAACGATCTGGTACAACCGCCACCACCCGTATCGTCTAAGACCAAGGTGCAACAGCACATCCTTCTTAAGCGCGTCTGCTGCACTGCGTTTCCTCTCATCGATGTTTGTGCGTTTCACGGACAAAAAGGCGCGTATAAGTGCACGTACCTCCCGCATCAGCTCTGCAAGTGCGCTCTCACGCACTTCTTCGATCTCTGCAAGCACACTCTGCTTGAAGAACACCTTTGTAAGACCAAGCTTATACAAATTTGCCGGTATGGAAAGCGCATCGCACATGCCCTTGATGTACATTTTCTCGTCAAAGCCGTCAAACTCCTTGTAAATCACACTGTACCGCTCGATAAAATCCTTGAAGTCCATTCGATTTGGATAGCCCAGCCGCGAAATCCGTATGCCCTCGAGCACGCCGTTGCAACGCAGCTGGTGCAGAATGAAGTGGTTGTCGAGCTCAGTGCTGCTCTTCTTGCAGTTGGGCAGGATGCACCGTACGAAGTGCGGTGATGTATTCTTGAGCTGCTGCATGAGGTATGCGAGCTGTTCCTTATGCTTCTGCGCGACTGTTCTGAAGAAACCCTTTTTCTCGCCCTTGGAGGGACGTGGTACAAGGCGCCTCACCAGTTCGTCATCGCTGCGCTCGATGAGCTCCGAGATGTCTCCGAAGTACGGCTCTTTGTTCTTGGACAGCCAACCCTCAATATCATACTCGGTCACACCCGCATAATGCTTCAGCTTGAAACCGTCGTTGAAGCGGCACGCCTCAAATTCAGGCACCTTCTTCAAATTCGTGTACAGCTTGTGCAGAAGGGTCTTCTCATCAGCCTTGGGCATCACGCACTCCTCGTCGATGTACGCGAATATGCCGATCGGGTTGTTGCTCTCGATGAGATTGATTGTGGGACTCAGATCATGGCCAAAATCGATGTAATTCCACTCGATCTGCTCCCGCCTGTAAATCTCCTGCTCAAGTATGAACATGTGGTGGTTAAAGAACTGCTGCAGCTTCTCGTTCGTGTAGTTTATGCAGAACTGCTCGAAGTTATTCGTCTTGAAGATCTCAAAGCCTGCAATGTCAAGCACGCCGATGTAGCTGCTGCCCATCGGACTTCGTATGCACGTGTTGATGATGCGGATCACTTCTTCAAACAGATTCTCGTATAACAATCTGCACAGTGCATCAACGATGCGGCGCGCCTGCTCGCTGCTCCGGTTGCGCGTTACCGTCTCATGCGAGAGCACGGAGATCGGGTTCAAAATGCATTTGACAAAGCTTGCGATCGGGATGCACAGCAGTCGACATGCTGCCTCGGCTGGCCCTATGTCTCTGATCTCACCTTTTTCGCCTGTGTCCACGAAGCCTATGTTCCCCAAATGCAGAATGGCTGCGACGATGCGCAGCACGGACTCGATCGTGCACTCGTCAAATCCAAGATTCTTCATGCAGCGCAGCGTTTCCACGAACTCTTTGGCATCATCCACACCGGGCACGGTGTGCGGAGTGTCCCTCAGCATCCTGTAATCATTGATCCCGTTCGTCAGGAACAGCCTGTCAAGAAGCGCCTTGTCGGCACCTTTGAGCAGCTGGTAGAAGATGTGGTAATTCCTTTCATTCGGATTTGGCCGGGTTACCCTGCTCCGCTCGAGCAGATACTTCTCAATGTATGCGCCTGTTATCCGCCCGCTCTCGAACGTTATCTTGATGAATTTGCCGAACCGCGATGAGTTGTAGTTCCGTGTGGTCTGTGCGTTGCCAAACGCTTCAAGAACCGGATTTGTGTCTACGATCTTCTGCTCAATGCTTACACTATCACCTGTCGCGTATCCCTGCGCAGCGTACGCAAGGAACGAGATCGCCTTCTTCGTATTCTCCGTCTTTCCCGCACCCGACTCGCCCGTGATCAAAATAGACTGGTTTTTGTTATTCATCACCATCGACGTGTACGCATCGTTTGCAACCGCGAAAATGTGCGGTTTAAGCTCATATTTCTTGTTCATCGAGTACTTCTTCATCATTTTCTCTGTGTATATTCCCAGGTTCCTGAACGGATTCAGTGCCACCAGGAACAGCCCGGAGTACGTGTAAATATTCTGGTTGGTGTACCGCATGTGCAGATTGTACAGCACACTCGCCTCATTCAGGTGGCTCAGCCCCGCCAAATCGTCAACAGCATCGAACTTCTGCGGATTAACCTTCTGTGTGTCCATCTTCCGCACCTCACGCTCCTCGCCACTCTTCGTAAGCACTACGTAGTAATCGTCCTTCTCGTCTTTTATCTGGGCCAGCACAAATGCCTTTTCTCTGTCTGGAGCCCAAATTAATTTCTTTTCCCTTTGTTGAACTATTTCCTCCATTGTATCTGCCATGGCTTATTATTTTTTATTTTGTTTTTATTTTTTTTTGTTGATAAGGTGATAAAGTACGGTGATGTGCACACATTTGGTGCATTCTGAGGTATTAGTGGTGTTTTTACCTGCAGATCTCCGAATTGAATTTTTAATTACTGCGCTCAAAAAATGTTAAATATACCGAAAAGGTTCAGGCTCGTCTGAACACTCCAAATTAACACGTGCTACTGGGTGAATACGTGTACAGCAGCACGGCATCGGTTGTACAGGTGAGTGTGGTTGGCAGGGAGACGGTCTCGTGGTACACCGTACGCACGAACAAGAATTTGTTTGCAACACCGTAAACATTCTTTTGTACCGGTACACACGAATTAGCACCTCACGAATGCCTCGCCACCAATTTAACGTTTCGGTACGAAATGAAACGTGCGCACCAAAGTGTGGCAGCATTGTTTGTTTGCAGTGCTTAGACTGCCGCTCTATAAGAGATTTGCATGACGTGCTATCAACCGATTACGACCGCGAGGGAAACGAAGTTCGCCCGGTAACTGTGCAAAAGCTTTGAAATGATGATAAGAACGCATGTTTACCATTCGCACACGTTTACAAGCATTTCGGTGTTTCTAAGTGCTCTTTTTAGTTGTTTCATTTTGGTATGTTGTATAAATTTGGGCAAATTCAAAAGCTCACGAGTTCCAGAAAAATAAATTTATCGATCAATGACCAGCGAAATGAACCGTATGGCTCTCTCATAATGACAGCAAATTTGTTTTAAGTGCCATTCACTCTGCTATGACAGGTCTTCTTCTCCATTCTTAATTTTTATGTACAAAGTGTTAATTTGGTTACATCACAGAAAAGTAAATTGCCTTTTAGCACAGCATGGATAAAAAACACTAAGCGTGCGATGACCGGTACCGATGCGAACATCACGTTCATCAATTTGATGGCACATCGTGATGAAGGTAGAACAAGTAGATCGGTCGGTTCTCCGTACCACAATTACCAGATCTGTAGAAATGTTTTTTAATTGCATCCATACGGTGTGCACAAGCATCTGAGTCCTACATTCATGAACCTGTTAACCGTGCGCCTTCTTGTGTATGGCCTTTGTCTGCTGCCCAATTTTGATGCTCCCGCACTTTTCATCGCTCGTCGTTTTATCATCCACCGGTATGTTCTTGACACATCGCTTTGATTGTATCCACCTGTCAAGCACGCAAGGTTTAGATCACCAATCTATCCTACACGTGAACCGTACCTCTCGGTTAAAAGATGAGTTAGCGGATGGGACGTGATATCGGCTTGGGTACATGTGGTGAGTGAGTCTTTGATGGGTGCTGTAAGTGCGGTAGAAACTCTGGTGAACGGACATAATCCACGTGCACAGCAGATTATCGTTGCAATGGTGTTAAAGAAGTGCGTTTGACCAGAAGATAAGAAGACGTACTTTTTTACCTCACCCGTCCAGCAGCACGGTACTGCAGCAGAGGTGAACTACCACAGCTATACCGAACAGTAAAAAGTGTAATTTTGTACACCAAGAAGGTGTTCTAGCCAAAGGAACGCATCAAAAATTTCTTTAATCGTTGCCAACCATTTTTTAGCGTATTGCTTCAGATAAATAAAATTGCTGCGGTTAGTTCAAATATTTCTGGTGAAACAGCGGATTATAACAAAAAACGTGCCTTGCGCGGTGCCTAAATCTCATCTTGTAATGCAGTGTTAGACAGGCGTGGTTGTGCAAAGCAAAGATTTCTTCCTAACCAAAAAGAAAGTAAATCATTGGTACTGTTCATGCTTACTCGTGTTCCTCATCATTTACTCATCTGATACGCACGTTTTGGCAGTTAAAAACTTTTTTAGTATTTTCATACATCAACTCTCGTAAGCTGCTGATCCAGCGTGGTGCTCATTCTAAAACGTGTACCAAGCCGTGTGTTCAACTCTTTAGGTCAATTATGGTGTTCACTAAGTACCTACTGTTCAGCTAGATCATATTTAGAAACAGTTCATTACAACACGGGCCCGTAGCGAATATAGCAAGGTTCACAACATGAATGACCTGTTAGACTGCAATTGGCCACATAATACTTAGCATGCACCACCGCACGTACAACTCTAATGCTATACGCTTGTTCTGCGCTGATTAACGCTCTTGATGTGCTATCACCTGTCAAATTGATTATTCTGTCCAATTCGTTCAGACCAGATGTAAAATAACGCAATTGTGCACTTGGCCAATAATGATAAACGTAATCTATGTATGATGATTGCAGCACAGGTACACGGTTATACCACGTTCATTAGCCTTTGAGAAGGTTTGCAAGTCGATGCTGTACTTCTACGTTTGTTCTGGGAGCTACGTCAGAGCATGATCACATTTAAGCCGATACTACAAAACGAATCATCACTTCCACGTTTATTCCCGCGTACAAAACCGATAATAAGTGCGTTTGACATGAATTCGATGTACGGAAAATAATGCAGGCGAATAAATTCGGTATGGTACATAAAATCTGATCAAGGAATTAACATGCACCGCGAAACAGTGCTAAAGCTTAGAACCGTTGGCAAAACTCAACGAACAAATATTTATTTAACGACAGCTTATCATCTCAGTTCGCCACGCGTGTCCTTGAGACTGAGAAGTGCCTGCTTCGAGTCTTCGTAGTACTTCCTGCACTCGTCATCAAAAATTCTTTTTTTGCTCTCGTCCTTCAAGGACTCGCTCAACTTCCTGAGAAGAGATACGCCGCCCTGTTTGAGATACTTGAAATACAACGAAAGGGTTGAAATGACGAGCCCTGCCTCGTTCAGGCCCTCTTTGATGTTCTCTGCCAAGTTCAGAAGCAAAAATTCATCAAATTGTTCAAGATTTACGTTCTTCGTGTTCTCAACAAATTCTATGAAATTTTCAATGGTAGGATCATTGCCCAAGAATAACAGACACTCTGCAAAATTATCGTCATTGTTTTGCTCTTCGACCGCGTTGTTGATCGTGTTTGTGCTTGTTTCAACGAATTTCGGCCTGAGCTTTCGTTCAATAAACTCCTTTCTCTTGTCCAGCTCTGGATCGTACTGTTTTTCGAGTTTCTTCTTTATGTCCTCCAGTTCTTTCGCCATTTCATGCCTATCGCGCTCCTTCTTTTCGCGCACTAATCTGCGTAGTGTGCTCTTCTCTATGTTTTGATGATTGTAGTCTGACGAATCACTGCTCAATTCCATTTCATTGATGGGATGATCCATGGCGGGGGTTGGCGGTATTGCGAAATTAAAGCCCACGTCGTGCCAAAAGAACCATTACTCGTATATAAAGACCCGTAATACCATCAATACCTTGTTGCTGTGCCCCTTATTGCATGTTAGCAAATGTTTCCGCAATATTTGAGCAGTGCTCTGAGTACGTATCAGCTTGTGCTCACATACCACCACTGTTGCGGTAGATACCGTGCAATTGAGCAATAATAATGTAATTAGAGTGTTTATGGTACAGATAATTGATTAAGAAGCTGTCAATTCATAGATATAACCGATATTAGACAGTTTGTAACAGCTGAACCGATACCAAGTGAATGCATGCGTGTCAACCTGATACTTCATCGTATGAAGATGTAGTAGAAGTAAATCGTAAAGTTATGGAACAGAGATAAATGTAATTGAGAAGTAAACTATAAAGTTATGCAATGCTAGTATACTCCATTGCGCAAATTATTCCGCTATTTAACGCTTTCCGCCATGTTTCGTATGTTAAACGTATTGTAGAACAGTATCTATACGACATGGCTTGGTTGGTGTACGCATAATATATTTGAACGCAGACCCCCTTCATCTTAAAATGTTGCGCTGTGTGATTCATTTAAATCATAGAAGCGTTCAATTAGCACTTTTATACCGTTTTGTGCTAAATTTTTAATTTTTTACGGCCGACCCTGCAAATGCAAGTGAGGCTCAATCCATCAGATAAACGAAGTTTTGTTTTCTACTATTTGATCAAGAAGTACACGCCACACGATGTAGTCCTTGACAAGGAGAAGAAAGACATTGATGTTGATGTGCTCGAATCAATTTTTGAAAACACGCCGGTCAAATCGCTTCTAGGAAAGATTTGCTCGTTTAGCGATGTGAACCTGAAAGAAGCGGTGCTGCAGTATAAAAAAGAGGCCGATGCGCTGAGAGATGTTTACTTTTCACTGCTTTATGCCGACGGTACGCTTCTCAAAGCAATGAAAACAGACAAAGCCTCTAGCGGCTTGACGGATGAGAACGAGCACATTGCTGACGTACTACGGGTGCTGTGTGATCTCGCAAAAAATAACGGAATCATTGAAGAGTACAAAAATGAGATGAAACCGAAGGAGACATGTAGATTTCCACCAGAACCGAGCGGTTATCTGCATCTAGGACATGTGAAAGCAGCGCTTCTGAACAACTCAATGGCTGACAGGCTCATTGTTCGATTTGATGACACAAACCAGGAGAAGGGCTCGGATCTGTACGAGAAGATTATCTTGGAGGACCTGGAGCTACTTGAGCTGAAAGAGCATCGGCTGTCCAGAACAAGTGATCACTATAAGACAATTATGGTGTGTGCTCAATATCTGATCAACGAGGGATTGGCGTACTGTGACAACACTGAGCAGGAACAAATGAACAAGGAGAGAATGGACGGCATCGAAAGTGCCAAGAGAAATACGAAACCGGCCGATAACATGAAAATATTTCATAAGATGATGGAACTGGGAGATACGGAGAAGCCGGTAGACACGTCTGAATTCGAGCATTACTGCGTGAGAGCTAAAATATCGGTTGACGACAAGAACAAAGCTCTAAGAGACCCTGTCATATTTAGATTGAAGGACAAGAAGCATGGTAGAACGAATTCTAGACTGTCTCCGACGTACGATTTTGCCTGTCCAATTGTGGACAGTACGGAAGGAGTGACCACAGTGTTGCGTACCAACGAATTCAGGGACAGGAATGCGCAGTATTTTTGGTTCCTCAGGATGCTCAAAATGCGTACGCCAATCATAAAAGACTTCAGCAGATTAAATTTTGAGAACACAATTTTGTCGAAAAGAAAGCTCAGAACGATCATTGAAGAGCACGGTTTGACCTGGGACGATCCAAGAATACCGACTATAAGAGGCATTATGAGACTGGGATTGAATATAAATGTTCTGAAGGAGTATATAACGATGCAGGGAATGCGGCAGAAGAACACCGTTAACTCATGGGATAAGATATGGGCAATGAACAAGAAGTATCTGGAAAGGATGTGTAAAAGATATTCAGGTGTAAAGCAGGACAGGTGTGTGAAGATTTGTTTTGTGGATGACAAGGGAGAGCCAGTAGAGCCGTTAGAAGCGACGTTAACGATTCCGTACAACAAAAAGGATTCCTCGATGGGACAAAGGACTGTTTATACCAAGAGCATGGTGATTTCTAAAGAAGATGCGGAACAGCTTGCAGATAACGAGGAGTTTACCCTGATGCACGTTGGAAATGTTGTGGTGAAGAGCAGGCAGCCTGATGCAATACTAGTCATGAACAATCCGGATGGTGATGTCAAGACAACTGTGAATAAAATTACATGGGTGTCGCTTGAGGGAGCGCTCAACATCAATTTAGCAATTTACAGTGATCTGGTGATTGACGGTAGGTTTAACACCGAATCGAAGAACATCATCCAAATTTATGCCGAAAAGTCCGTTGAGGACGTAAAGTACGGCGAGGTCATACAATTTGAGCGTATAGGCTTCTGTAGACGCGATTACAAATCCGGTGATTTTATCATGGTTCCCTACACTGAACAGAAGCGGAAAGTACTCAATAAAAATTAATTATTCTGTTTATGCCCGATTATCTATACCGTACGATAATGTGCTTTTCGTTTGCAGGTCTCAGTACCATTTCAAATCGACACTTTGTTTGATTGATGAAATGCAAATACGCCTTCGGCACTGAACGGTCGAGTGAGTAGCCTAACATGCCTCATATTTGGGGTCAGGAGCACAAATTCTTCTGTGAAAGAAGGGAATCTGATCGATAAATGCTTTGTGGAAAAGCGAACACTGGTAACAGTGCACAGATTAACACCATTGCAGCATCTCATGCTCCTATTACACCAGGTGAGTGTTTTGCTCATGAAAATGGACGAGCTTATTTAGACAGTTTGGTAGAAATTACACGCCCTATGTGTTGTGCAGGACTAAAACAGATATCTTAATATCGAGAAGTATCCACCACTTGTGGTAGGTGCTGAACTGCAGTACAAATATGTGCTTTACGATCCCGGTATAGGGTCATATGAAATGGGCTAAAGGTCATGGCTGGAGTAGAAGGAAAGTCATGCAGTAAAATAAGAGTTTGTAGGATGATACTTGTGCTCGCCCACGACTTGGTGTGCGGGTGAGGTATATTCTTAAAATGTGCGCAACATAATAATACACTCGATGAGCATTGGGCTGGTAACCATATCCTAAAATAAGCTCTTTCAGTTCTTAAAATCTTCAGAGAATGTTTCCCTTCAAGAACAAAAGAAAAGTAGTAAATTAACGCATCAGCATAAGAACTTTTAAGTTTGTTGAATTTCGACTGAAATTTTGTTGCGCACAAGCTTATCAAAAGTGACGTCCTGTCATGCAGAGAATTGTGGATAAAAAGATTAAACCTCAAAAAGTTAACTTAATGAAATATTCTGTAATGTTAGCTTTCTTCATTTTGTCAAGGGGAATTAACGTAAATCAAACATTTGATCCGAACATGGTTTGTACACGAAGTGGATCATGTATTGAGAAACCGCGGCTAGATATTCGAGCGGATGCCAATAAAACAGAAAAACAAAGACATGCTAATTCTTGCTTTTCAAAGAATGCCGCATTGGGTTGTCATGTGCCTGGACCGAAAATTAAGACGTGTATGGAAACGAATACGAAAGATTATGATAATTTATTACAATCTAGTGGTGCGAATTATTCTCTATTTAGTAGATTATTGGTGTCTTATGAGCTGTGCTCTGATCGCTACGTTGATATTTCATCAAAAAATATGAATCAGAACCTGAAATGGAGCTTGCATGAAACAACCGAAAGAAAAAAAGAAAATGGTGCCAATCAAAACGGAATAAAAACAGAAATATTGGAAACGGGTGGTAATTTGCAGAGTAAACCATATTCAATGCAAAAGTATTCACGAAAGAGCCCGGTACGTGATGCACGACAAAGACAATTTCAGGAGAATTGCCGCAAGGCATCGCAAGATGCGGATAAAGAGTGTGCATCGAAAATATTTTATTTATCTGACAGCTCATCCGACTCGGATAAAAAGTGTGCATCAAACGTATTTTATTTATCTGACAGCTCATCCGACTCGTATGACCAAAAATTATTTAACCCGGCTAACTCACGACGCTCCATCGCGAACAAAGCGTTCGAAAATAGAGATGCTATGCGGGTGTTAAAATGTTTGCAAAAAGACATTGGTCTGATCAGCATGCTTATCGACATAACGGTGTTCAATTTCCAAGTTTATATGTCACAATCAGCCGGTGCACCATATGCTGTGCTTAATCTCATTACGATTTTGGAAAAATTCTGGTGTTTTTTGCACGATGTGCCCAGGAATTACGAAGCTGAGATTAAAGCCAAGCATGTTCAAATCCACAGACTGCGACTGACCCTACCACACTCGTTCAGAGAATTAACGAAAATGTTATACGGTACGTCCGAGACTAGGCTAGCCATTTTACGTATTGAGCAGTTGACTGAGCAGATATTGAGCATTTTTAATGATTAAAACTGGTATTGCTAAGGTTGTCCATATCTGTTATGGGGATCAAATCTCTAAACAACCTGAAAACAGGTGGAATAGTATCATAAAATGATAATTTTTTATTAACCTGATCATTAAACGAGATGCTGTGCACTAAAATTATATTTACAGGCATCAATAACCTTTGTTCGGTTACAAACAGAGAAATACTTTTAACTGATGATACTTTCGTATACGATACCGGTACCTGGCACAAATTACGTGCTTTGTACAATGAAATAGCTGGTTTTATTGATGGAATGAACCGAATGCATTTCTTGGTAGACATAGCTGGCGGTGTCCATAAAACTAATAAGAGGTTGATGTGAGCAGCCTTATCCATGGAAAGTTTCCAAGCTGTATCCGACAAGTTCTTAAACTGGACAAATCACTCGATTATGTAAACTTTGTACACAACCAGATATCTTTATTGACCATTTTGCAGAAATGGATGTACGAGCGCTTCCTCCGCCGTGACTCTTTTCTCTGGGTAGAGCTCAAGCATTCTGTACAGCAAATCGTATCCATGCCTATCCAGCCCACAGTTTGGGTTTAAACCACGTACTATTCGTTCAAAGGATATCCTGTCGTTTGGAATGCTAGGCAAATTAGTTTTCCACACCCTACCGTGATGCTTAGCCAGCTTTCTCATCTCGTTGTTGCCAAATATACAGGCTATTTCCACAAGAGCATCCAAATCATCAAGCGAATTGAAGAAAGGATATTGTTTGGTCAACAATATAAGAAATATTACGCCTACCGACCACACATCAATAGCAATAGTCTGGTTCGGATTCCGGAGAAGCACCTCAGGTGCTCTAAATCCACGTGTCCCTGCTCGCTGCGCTTTCATGACCGGTCTGGTGTCTGTCTGGTAATAACCCGGAGGCTGCGTAGATCTCGATACAACAGAATTAAAAAATGTTACCGATGGTTTCGTCTTCGTGTTCTTAGTAGGCGGTTCTTCCGGTGTTTGAACGCTCTTTTCCTCCTGTGCCAGCCCAAAATCAATCAGAAAGCCTCTCTGCTGCACACTATTGTACAAAAAATTGCTTGGCTTGATGTCTCTGTGTATGATATGATTGTCATGTGTGTGCTTGAGTGCTATCAATAACTGTCGCATATACACCCTGGTATCATTGATGGTGCAAAATTCCAGAAACTCCCTGAAATCAGAGCAATCAAAGTACGGAAAGACTGCAACCACCTGATCCTCAAACCTGAGCACGTTCAGGAGCGGTATTACGCCGTTCTCACCGTTCAGTTTCTTCAGGAAGCGCAATTCCTCCGCAACACGGCTAGGCGCACTGGTCATTGTTATATTCTTTATTGCTGCGTTTGAGTACGAGTTGTCAGATTCTGTGTTATTCAAATCCACGGCCTTATACACGGTACTGAACGTGCCCTCACCCGCCCGTGCTATAACCTTGTATTTGTCCGAGAACCATTCGAAGTACGTTCGTTCCTCAGCACTGAACTGCTCCATTAAGGGGCCATCAATTTCAGTTTATAAAACAGACAGTCGTTTGCACCGTGCTTCTCGAAAATGATCACGAATACGCCATCTGTACCAGGGAACAATGCTGTTGCTGCGATTTAGCGGTATCCGTATTGCTCGGTAATATGACATATCAGTTTTTATATGTTCAAATAATACGAAGCGTGCCAAAAAGGTATAAACTGTGGGGAGTAGCTACGAATTTGTGTTCATTTCATGGCAAAAAACTGCGGTAAATCTTTGTAACTGGTACATCTATCAGGTACAGCAAGTTTGTTTCAATTTGCGGTACAATCCTTTCAAGAACAAAATAAGCTGCAAAAATAGTTGTGAAGCCACAGCATTTCATGCCAACACAGGAAACATCACCTGTTTACGATAACAATTATTAGATTCAGCCTGGTCTACGAGTATCCTAGCAAATCCCGTTTATTGTCGGTAACACCCCCTGCTTGAGTACCAAATAATAACAGAATTGCGCGCTTGATGGATCACTGTCCGCTTGTTTAACAGCAACAATCAAAAATGTGTTGCTCTTTAACATATCTCCGTTCCAACGGCTACCGCAAAATAACAGATTAAGGACCGATTCGCAGCACAAACATTCTATGGATGATCATCTGCTCACCATCTCATATCGTTGGTGTAGCTCAAAGCATCGATCCATCCTATCGCACCAATACAATGCTATTCATAAAAAGAACATTTTTCCGCCTAATACCCCGATCTAATCATTTTCAGGTCACCAACCACTGCCGCCATTTACCTGTTTTACCACCCGTCCGCTGAATTATGCTTCCTCTCATTTTACGGACTAAACCTCGTAGGGAATATTTTCAAACACACAATCGACCAACAGTCGTTAAACAGACTAGCAAAGAAGGTAAGCATCATGCAATTGTATGCCTCACTGATTGACAGCAATGATAAATTAAAAATAACATGATAAATCAAATCATAGGGAAACTGCGCGAATGGGGCGCTAATAACACGCGTAAATGCGTGCACAAGTGCATTGAGAAGCATCATGGTAATAACTGCCAGCATACATAGCCATTTCTTGTGCTCGATACACTTGCTGAGCTTGATGTGTCTTTTAGCCATGTGATAGAGAAATCGTCTAAAAACGATTTCTTCGTTAAAAACACGTACACACATCAGCAGAAGATACTCTGGAACTCTCCAAATGCACTTTTCGTTGAGGATCCGCTTGTGTATCGTGTGGAAGTTGCCTAAAATCTGAGGGCATACGAGTATAAAAAGACTGTCGTAGACCAACATAATGTTAACAAACCAAGATAGCTCCACCATCATTCTCTTTCCTCTTGCGATGTCCTTTGTAATTACCCGTCTGCGTAGAACCGTGGTTATCACGAAGCACACCAGTGCCACTGTATCAAATACGAAATAGCATTCTGTCTTGAAGTACCATTTGATGAGTGCGCTCTCAACAGCAATGAAAAACTCTCTAAAACACAGTATAAATAAAGAAATGATGGCCATTGCTGTGATGACACCATTATTACGATAACTGTACATGTCCATTCTGTATCCCTACTTGGATTCAATTTGAACTTGCGGCAATTATCTGATTAATTAGCATTTTGATTGTTTAATTAAACAAGCTCTGCCATGTTGCATAGGTTCAGGAATGATGTGCAGATCAAAATTAGAGTTGGAACAATTTGCAGATCAAAATTAGAGTTGGAACAATTTGTTGTTCCTCCGCTCGATAAAGAAGCCTTAGCACCGTTCTACTATGACAGTTTTAACTTCATTCTTGTGATCCACACGAAGTTTAAACTGTCATGTACCAACAATAATTCAGCTAAGAGCGTTTAATGTTCTGTTATGTGTTTTAGACTGTCACCAAACAAATTCATTATTCGTTCTACACCACTGTAAGTTGTTATATTGAGCTCTGCATATGAGTTGTGCTGTAAAAGTCATTCACGGTAATCGTTATACCATGAAGCAGACAATCATAACATTTGTATCGTAAAATTGGTACATATCAATGTTTTTATACCGTACAGATAGTACATCATGAAAATTATGAGTAAAATATTTTGATAGTGTGAATAAGGCACTTCTATCCCTACGATACTCTGCTAACAGAATTTTCTTCACTGTATTTTATCGTATTTGTTGAGTTCTTATACCGTGTTAATACGGTACAACCTTTCTCAACATGGTCTCTGTGCCTATGCTATTTTACACGTTCTAAAAGTTTTTACAACACAAAATGATGGAAATAGAGCTGAGGTGTTCTTTAAGTACAAAGAACGTAGAATGGGGTAAGTAACGCATGTTGGTGGTTTTTACATTCTTATGGCGTGCCCTGGCACGGGTACTCATTGTTACGGCGGGATGACCTACGTTTTGAGAGCGGTAGGTGAAAGACACGGTGTATATAAAAATACGTATTAGAGCACATAAAACGTGTGTTCGTGGCCAATACAAAGCATTTAACACGGTAATACGCAAGCGTCATGTGCATTTACACTATTTAATTACATGGGCCATCAATTCTCACTGATACTTCCCATCGTGCTTTTAATCTGTTTCTCTATCAGCTCATCATCGATGTTTTCAGGCAACTTGCCCCTTTTCTTCGCGTATTTACGCTCTTCAAGAGTGTACAACCTGAAGTGATGTGTGGTGGGCTGTTCTACCGTGTCATGTGCACCAACATCGTTGTCAACCTTGCGCGTTTCGCCCCAGCTGAAGTCATCAAAATGCCAGAATGCATAGACGGGCAGCACCAGGTTCCAAACCGGCAAGCTTAGGATGTAAATGAGCAGCCAGAAGATGTACTGCAGCTTAAAGGAAGTAATGAGAATGAGAACAACAGGCAGACCAAATATGCAAGCAAGCATGATGAGAGGGATCCATGCCGGCTTGATGAGTATGGAAACGGCAATGAGCACGAACGTAAAGATGATTGACACGGGCAGCACGAGGGTGCCCGCCAGTTCAACACCTACGGCAAACTGCATTGAGCAGCAGAACGTGCCGCACAGCGCATTCACCGACACAAGCTCCATCAGGTTATGCACCGTGCTGTTGATCCATCGCCTGCGCTGACTGAGCAGCACCGGGAATGTGTCCGGCACATATGTCCGACATGTGGCAGCAGGCAGAAAGATGAGCTTGCGCCTGTAGAATGTCTTTAAGAGCAGAGTGGTGAGATAGCGGTCCTCACCAAGCAACAGCAGATTCTTCTCGTGCAGAGTCTCCGTGCGTGTTACGGAATACGGATTAAGAACGAAGGAGTTTGCAAGAATGGGCACGTACTTATCGTCCTCCTTGATTTTTATCCGGTAAATGCAGAAACAGCCGGGCAGGCACGTAACACCACCAAAAATGCTCTCAAACGCCTTCGTCAGATGGTGACTGATGTAGTACTCAAACACCTGTATCATTGTGACCCAGCTCACTCCCTTGTTGATGATCTTGGTCTCGCCACACATGCCCATGATCTTGGTATCGTTCACGAACGCGCTATTGAAGTGGTGCAGTGCATCGGGGTGCACAATCGTGTCGGCGTCCACCATCATGATCATCTCAAAACATGCGGGCTCCATGTCCATCGCCTCTTTGAACGCCTCGTAGATCTCAAAGTCAAGATCGGTCATACGCTCCTGGTACAGCAATTTCTGGAAAAAGCCCATGATAATCACCTGCGAGTCTCTCTTTCCTCGGTTGCCCGGCTTGGAGCGCTCGTCCTCCCTTCCCACCTTCACAATGACCACCATTTTGCACGTGTTCGTGTCACTACTGTACGTTCCGCTGTACACCACGCCCCTATTGAGTGTGCCGTTGAGCGACTTGTAATCGGTGGCCTCGCGCCTCTTGTCCACGCTCATCAGTTCGATGATGATGTCCGGAGTGGTCGTTTCGCTTCCACTGCCCTTCACCAGCCCATCAGCAATCACAAGGATGACCTTCTCGCTGTAATTCTGGTTGCATAGCGAGTCAAGGGTCTTTTTGATGCCCTCCCTGTCCTCGGAGTAGCATGTGACCAGCATAATGCATGGCAGGTTCTCCGCCGCTACCCTTTTCTTGCGGATCAGCCACGAGTAAACAATGGACAGCACAAATTTGATTATGATCAGGCTGAAAATGATCACTGTGGACAGATATAGCAGGATGTCTGCCACCAGGCATCCGTAGGTCTTACCACCCAGCTTGCCGAAGTAGCAGCTGTCCTTGAAGCACTGCAATGCCAGTGAATCAAGATTGTTATCATCGGCCATCTTGCCCGCGTACTTTGCGATGAACTCGTCGTAGAAACTGTGATTCACGATTGATGGGTCATACACCCGGTCATTGATGAGAATTAGTTTGAGCTGTTTGATGTCGTTGAAGTTGAAGTAAATGTCCGCGATCTTGATCAGATCATCGGGATCAATGCCGCTGTCCGTGATGCTCTCACCGAACCGCCTTTTGCATGCGCTCGATTTGATTGTCTTCAGGTTGTGAATGAGGCCTTCATATTCGTCGGAGTAGTAAATCTCGCCATTCCCGATCACCACAGGAGCAGGGAACTCAGGCAGCCGCCCGTAGATGTACTGGTTCGAGCCCTTGCACACCACGATATTCATACCGAACGTGAGAAAGCCGAGCAGCATGCATAGCAGGAATATGATCGATACGAGCGCCACCTTTTCTCTCCATGCGTTGCGCACCTCCTTTGTTTTCATTCCACATATGCTCAGTACCTTGCTCGGTATTAAAATAGTGAAAATGGGGTATATTATAGCCCACAGTGACTTCCGCTTTTTGTACACCTTGGGCGGACACGAGAAATCGTTTGTGTCTAAGAAAAGATTAGATGGCATTAGAGGGTCCCTGTTTGTTTATGCATAGATATGATTAATTAAATATTTGTTTATGCGCGAGAGAACATAATATGGAGATACCCTGTGAAACGCAGAAACGGCGTATCATACAGCCATAAATCCCGCATACATACTCATTCGGACATTATGCATCAGAAAACAACCCCATTAAACAACAATTCATTTTCTTTAGATACAAAAAAACATTGGTGGACAACAACGATGTCCGAAACATTGTATCATGACAAATATCAAGCGTAATTCACATAGACATCAAGTCTTTACAGTGAATTACGGTGTAGTGACGAGATGCCTGTTACTACCCTGGTAAAATTTTGTAAATGATAAATGAGTTTTACTATTAAGGAAAAAAGTACGAAGTGATAATTTAGGTATAAAATTGGGAAAATGGCATATAAAAAATACTTCGTACGAATGTGAGATAAACAACAAATGTTCATAACACGTGACTGAAGAATGAGCATACCGTACAGTGCTGAGATAGCACACTCGTTCTGGAGCAAATTTGCGTAAATACCCATGGGATGCGATAGCAGGTATCGCATTTTTAAGAGAATAATTATCATTGTTGAATTTACTTACTCACCGTTTTAGTGCTGAATGCGGTAAATTTACTTGCTCTCTATTCAACCTGAAGAAAATCACCGCAAAAGCAATCAAAACGAATAAAACACTCATATCTTATGAAACATAAGCATAAACTGTCCATAAAATCTGTTCTAGTACAAAACCACAGCACCCGAATTGGTTACTAATACGGTCTTAACCTGCGGTCTATCAGAGCAAGAAAACGAACTCCTTTTCATTCTCCAGAGCTTGTTCCTTTATTATATGTCTCATCTCCTTTTGTATCGTGACGTTTATTCTCATGGACCGCTTCGCTATTTTGTTTATCAGGTATTTCAACTCCTCTCTGCCCTTTCTATTGCTGACAAGAGCACCGCACAGACACCCAGCAAAATACTTAAGTTCTCTTTCTTTATAAATTGCTTTTAGCACCGAGAGATTCCGCAGCTCACGTGAACCAGTTGTACCGTCTTGTTCATTTTTAGTACTGTGCTGGACACATGCACCAATATGCTCATCAGTCACCCGTGGTGAGCGAACCGCTATTTCTAAGAAGGTAAGAATTTTGTCACGGTACTTAAAAGAACGGGCACTCAGGATCTGCCCGTATTTCCTGTGGTGCAACATGCCGATAATACTGTTGCACTCCCTGATCCAACCGTCCATTTCTGCCAAATCTGTATAACACGTGTTAAAGAATGCGAGCAACGTGTTCAGTGCCAAACTCAAGTTCATATCGTGCGATATCTTTATGAAATTGAATGACGAGTCGATTCTCTTGCTTATGTCCAACAAGTACTCATTTATACGGTTCTTGAGCCGTGTGTGCAACTGCGAATCGACAGGTATTCCCTTAGCCACCGTCTTAATCATTAAAATATCATTTTTTTCAATGAAATGCTCTAGTTGATCGGTGACATACTTTTCTGCCATTTTTTTAGTTGCCGTGTCTGGTATATCTCTGTACAGCACCAGTATCTGTCGTAAATCATCTTTCCTCAGGTGTTCTTGCACTGCATTATTAATTCTCGCGTCTTTTGACTTTGCCTTCAAGGATGCAAGCTGTTGCGATACGCTTGTGTGTTCTTTGAACAGGTTAGAGAGATGCTCGTGCATGATTTGTGTTTTCTTTGCTGTTTTAACAGGAAGGATGAAACATATCATGATGATGATGGCACATTGGTACAAGAGGAATAAACCAATTTGGAAACGTTTAATCAGAAAATGTGCTTGTTAAGTAATGTTGCGTGGAGGTAAATGAATGAATGTAGCGCATTTATCAGCCGGTGATTGTGCGAATCGAGCTATGAAAGCAGCTGAACTTCTTTTATGTTACGTTCCAGTATCACACATGATAAAAGAGCAGGACACTTTCGAAGTTTTGGGCAAAGTACTTTCCGGCCGTGTTCCAGAGTTTCTTTAGCACAGACAAGATGTAGCGCAAATAGACTTAGTCGTAATACGCACAGTGGAACATTAAAAGGGATGCTAAAAGAGCCTTACAGACCTGATCGATTAAAGTAACCGCTTCATTTCACGTTGTAACTTCTCTGTGTTACGGGTCAGATTGTTCACTTGTATTCATTCGTATGCATTCCTTACACGTGCACACCGTATTTTGCTCACATGCAGGGTTTAGGGAACATCAACTAAAAGTACGTCAGCAGCAGGATTTGAACCTACGCGGGGAGACCCCATTAGATTTCAAGTCTAACGCCTTAACCACTCGGCCATGCTGACTTTAACCGCACGTAAATGATAATATAAATAGACCATAAGACTTGGCTATAAACAGCCTCAACTTTCTAACCCCTGTCAGATGCGGTGCGCTAAAGAGATCAAAGTAGATGTGCAACCATAGTGGAGAACGTATTGAACACACGTGTGGTAAAATTCCCGACTGTAATCAAGATCAGACCCAAAACGCCAGCTGTAGAAATGACCTACTACCAAGGAGTTTGCATCCGTTTTTTTAGATTTGTGTCTTTAGGTAACCTTTGTACATAGATCCTGCTAAAACAGCCTCTGAGTACGCAGCTCTACCTTCTCATGACTTTGAATATCGTGGCCTACTTTGGCACAAACAGGTTAGATGCAGTAGTAGGTTTTGGTGATGGTAGACGTACCAAATATATAAATCAGTCGCGTTATTTTCAGATTCTGATCAATACTGCTCTGACTAAACCTTCACTTCTACTCAAGATTCTTCTAGCATCCACTATTTCAGGTTAACACTCACACATTCATCGGATCTGTCAGACTACCTCTCTCAAGCACAGAAAAGTCCAACAATTTCTCGTAATCTCTCAAAGGACTAGTTCACTACACATAACCAGATAACTTATGTAACATATCAGTTTTTATTTCACATTATCTTATACAGTGATGCCATACATTTTCTGCAGAACTCATCTGTTCAACACATCTTTCTATAAATCAAGTTCAAATCTAAAAATTAGTGCACTATGTTTTGCCTATTTGATCATCCTTTGTTCCACTCACTTTGAATTAAGCGAACAGAGTACTGGACCTTAGCTCAAATCGAAGGGGCTTAGTTCACACACATGGCTGTAAATGGATTAGAGGCCTTTGGGATATCGTAACACAGAATAAATGCATATAAGGAATAGTGTTACCAGCACATCGATCCTCATTCATAGTCTAATGTGTTTACATGCAAACAAGCATAGCAGTACATCAAATGCAAATTCCGTAGCTCTTCAGTGATATGAGATGTTGATGCCGTGTACTAAAGAAATACGGTAAACGAAGTGAGAATATAATCTGAGATGATTGATAACTTGTAAAAAATGTGAGCATATGCACGTAACAATGAATGTAAGGAAATATTCTGTGCGAAAAAGAATAAGAAATCATACGAATAACGTTTTCAATTACTTGCGTAGAATAAGAATGATCTAAGTACTGCATACATATATTGAAAAACAATCAAAGCATACAACAAACAGGTCCAACAACTGCAGCTGTAGTATGTTTCTATAGATTTATCGTCAATAATATCTAAATCTGTTTCTTGTCAACAGGCTGATGATTCCATTTGCGATACTTGGCTGTCAATACATATTTCATGCGCTTCAATATTTA